ATGAGCCCAAAGCATCATGGGAATGTTTACATCTTCGGCCTGATTTGACAGCTTCAGGGTCTACATCATGGCTCACGTTTAAAAGATTTTACACTGCAGTTTCTTTATGAATCTGAACCAGAACCACCAGCCAAACATCAACCTACCTTCCCTCCTTCAACCACGGGACTCTCGAATTTCATGGCCCCAACCAGCCCCACCGGCCACACCGACACCCTCTGGGTGTTCCTCATCTGAAACGAGACGGCAGGATGTCTCCGTGCTTCTGGGACAACCGAGAGAAGACAACACAAACGTTACTCACCTCTTCAAATATCTGCAGGCTGTATGTGTTGTCGTCATCTGCAAAGTAAACCACGCCCTGCTGGCCGTCCCTTCTGTCCTCTCTGAGCCACCGTAGGCCCTCGTTTCGCTGTTCCACGCCGCGTGGCTTCAGCCAGCTGGGGTCACCCTGACAGGAGACAGAGAGCGTTTACTTAATCCTTCTCAGATTAAGATCTGGACTCAGACTCCTCCCACCTCCTGCAGTTTGCGCTCCTTGGCGGTGGGCACGTGCAGGTGTGTGTAGGTCAGGCCGCTCTTCATCAGCAGGTCGGTCACAAGAGGCGTCTTCTGAGGAGAGTCTTCCACCACGATCCAGTGGAGCTGAGGAACATGGAGGAATGTGTGGGACAGACGGGTCAGCTCAGCCTTCTGGACCAGCCTGAGGAACAATAACGAGAGAGTCATTCATTTAAGGAGTACAAATACAACACTGGGACATGTGAAGGCCATGGATGGTTTAGAGATCACAGCGTCTAGTCTAGAAACACCGTGAAATCATTTATTATAAAGATAAATTCTGATATAGACAGACCATAATATCACCTTGTTTTGGACAATGATGACTTTTTAAAGTAGGTTTGAAATGTGTGTAGCGTCATGAATGTCCTGTTTTTGACCTAAAGGTCATGATCTGCTGCGTCTGCTCGAGCAGAGACATAACGTCTCTGACAGGCTTTATTAAGTTCATGGCATCTACTAGAGCCCTGCACCGAAGCCCGGCCCTCGGGACGGCCCGACGGCCGGGCTTCGGGCCAACGACTGTGTAATTATCTCGGACACGGGCCGGGCCGGGTGCCTTTATTTTTAATCGAATTCATTAAAAAAAACTGAAACACTTGAACGCAGCAGCACCTGCCTGCTTCTCACGCACCGGCACCGTTAGCTCAGTTAAGGTGTGTGTGGTTTATAAACGCGCCGATATAAACGAATTCTCAAACTGCTGATTGAACCATGTGCCCCTATTCTAACATGCCATTTTATGTCCACTCTGATGTCAGAAGCCATTCGTTTATTCTCGTGGAAATGGCAGCACTCTATTTTTCTGTGAATAAATTCGCTCTGCAGTAAAAAAAAATACAGCATTCATTGCTGTTTTTTTTCTAACTGGGGAGCGCATTTTCAGAGCGGCAGATTAAATTTACAAATGCTATAATAATTGGGGGCGTTTATTTAATCTGCCGCTCTGAAAATGCGCTCTGCAGTTAGAAAATTAGAACGCTGCTTTTTTGTCTAATTGCACAAGAGCATATTTTCAGAGCAGATTAAATTTACAAACGCATCCAATTAATATAGTGTTCGTAAATTTCACCTGCCGCTCGAAAAATACGCTCTGTTAGAAAAAAAAGCTGCATTGATGCTGTTTTTCTTTCTTTTTTTTTACTGCAGAATGCTTCTCACAGATAATTAGAACGCTGAGCATCCTATCACGCTAAAAAATCATGAAAGGTTAAAAAAAAAAGTCGGGCTCAGGTCGAGTCAGAGAATCCTGAAAACCTTCTCGGACCGGGTCGGGCTGGGGCTCCACCCCCTCGTGCCGGGCCGGACACGGGCTCAGATTTTAGGCCCGTGCAGGGCTCTGGTATCAACTGCTTTAGATAAAGTCAGTGAAGTGATGCTGGAGTGAAAATCTGTTACAAAGAGGACTACCTTGCATATGTGGGAGTGATGACAAAGATGGTGGGCAGGGAGGACTTGGAAGGCTGCTTCTGGGGTGGTTTTGCCTCCTCCAGCTGTCGGATCTGAGCCTGAAGCCGATGGAGCTCGTCACGCAGGCGAGATATGGCCCGATCTTTAGCCATGTCGTGCTCTGTGCAGTCACATCGCTGACCTGTTTCAGACAAAAGAAACCAAACTATCACTAAATCATAAACAAAATCTTTGGGAAACCAAAGACCAGGATCTTTCCTGAGATCCAAACTTTTTGGAGTCTGGAATTAATCTACGCTTTACTTGGTGCTGAATCCTCACCGAGCTGCATCAGAGCGTAGACGAGTCCCATCAGAGAAACCGTGAAGTAGAGCACAAACACAGTCTTCAGCTTCAGCTTCATCCTGGTTGCCATGGTACCCAGATAAGCTGTAAAGATGGCAACGAACAACAAGAAAACACCATCCATTACTTTTCCCGTCACCTGTTCTCTTTTCAGGGAGATTCAACATTTTCTGGAGGATATAAATCCAAGTTGTAAACGTTTATCTGCACATTATTAACTGAAAACTAAAGCATTTCCCCTCTCCAGTCAGCGGTATCGTTACTGAGTGTAGGGTTATCTTAAGCACGAGAAAAGACTGGCCAACCAGTGAGATGGTTTAAGCAGAAAAATGGCGGATTTTCATGTGTTTGTTCTCACCAGAGACCTAAACGGCGGCGATAAACTCAAAACTTCATGTCATCTCGACCAACTGTGATCAACGACGCCGCAAAGAGCTGCAGCATCCTCAGCTGTGGCAGCAGAACCAACAACTTCCGGTGGCAGTGCAACACCCCAAGGAGTCCCCCGCCGAACCCTTACAACTAGTTCAGCGTTCCAAACAAAATTATTTTATATGCAACCATTAGTCAACGTAAAAAAAATAGAAAAGAAATAAAAAAATTACAAAGCAACAATCTTCATGTACAGTATTATAAAGAAACAAAAAATAAGAGGGAAAAAATGTGAACGTTTAACGTACTTCCGGAGAATGCACGGTTACGTAACTTCCGGTATGTTTGCTTCGGAACGCGGGTGTTGAGGCTTTAGCTAATTCAACATGAAACCTAAGAAAAGAAAGATCCAAAACAGGAGCGTTTTCACACATGGAGAAGGAGATATGTGGATTGTTGCAGCACCCCGTTTTGTTCGTCGAATTTGGACTTGGGATCACGTCACAGCACGTCAATATGCGTTCCAAATATGGCAGGCCGTTTTAACATTTAATTAACAATCAGACCTCTCATTAATTCCTATTTTAATAAACTTATATATATGTGTGTGTATATATATATATATAAATATATATGCATTTATATGTACTTATATATATAAATATATATATATTTATATATATATAGTTGCGTGATTAATGATTGACATTATCACTACATATTAATTGTGATCAATAAGATGTGATATTCCATATAATATGAAATATCAACCTGACTGATCTTTGAATATTTAATCAGAAGATTATAGTTATTTTTACTTGTTCAGGGACCATAAACACACTTGGTATTATTTCAGACAGAGTCATGTATATAGTTTTTAAAATGAATTTAATTCTTTTTACTAAACTAATAATTTATACATGACAAGATATGAATAATGACATGTGAAGTGTGAGATGTTTTTGCAGAAACTCCTTTGTATCTGAGAGAACTGGTGAAATCTGGGTGTAAAAGAATTTGTTGTTTGGTTATAACCCAGAGAGTTGGTTTTTGATAAAAGCCATCAGACGCGATCTGTTGTGTCTTCTACCCTTGTGGAGACCTCCAGTGCAGATCCAGGACTGTCAGAAGTCGGGAGGACCTCGACCTCAAGGTATCCGAAGCCGTAGATTAGCTCCGATACGACCCGTCCAGTCTTGAGATGTCTCGCAGTCACAACAGGAAGCTGGAATAGTCGTTTGCATCCAAGGTGGATGTTTGGCTCTTAAAAGAGCCGTCTGGCTGTGTCAGCTTGCAGCGTACAAAGAGGCTTTTGACTGGATGTCAAAAGAGATGTCTCGAAGATGCCTGTTCAGGAATTGGCCGGTTCGAGAGTCGGCTAGAAACTGAATTAATCGGGAAGTCATTCTTGTTTTAATAAAACACAATGTAATGAGTTTTGGCCAAGTTTGTCAAATCAGAATTTGACATGTTTGGAGTCTTACCAACATCCCTCAGAAAGCCACGCCTTCTTCAGATACAAAGAGTTTTAACACTTTGTGAATGAGAATCTTTAAACTCTCATGTGGGGTGAATATTAACCTTAATGAGTATCTTATTGTTAAATCAAACACATACTGATTTGTGAAATAAATGGATCATTGTAAAAACAATATTTATTATAAATTCATTGATGTAAGCACAGGTTATTCAAACGATTGATTTAAACAGCTTGTTCATTAATCACATATGATTATTTAAGCTCATGGTTGTAATGGAGTCTTCACTTATTCAGAGTGAAGAATGTTGACGTCTGGCTTTCACGTAGAAATGGCAGGAACCTTGAGGGCGAATGTTTACGTCTCCAGAGAGGAGCAATAAGTTGGTAAAGGGTTGATATATATATATATATATATATATATATATATATATATATATATATATATATATATATATATACACATATATATATCGTATATAATATATATATATATATACATATATATAACGTATACAATATATATATGTATATATGTATATATATATATATATATATATATATATATATATATATACATATATATACACATATATTAGCATAAGTCTAAGCACATGACATAAGTCCAGAGATCTCTGTGAAGACTGGGCTTAGCTCCTCAGCACAGTGTCTCAGGGTGGATGGAGACATGCTGTCTGGTCCAGCTGCCTTGTGGAGTTTTCAAGACAATCGGAATGCTTCATGCTCGACTTCTTCTCATATTCCTGCTGTTCCAGATTTCCCTATGTTGGACTCCCAGCATGTGTAATCACCTGCTGAGGTTCAGCAAACACTCCTGCTGAGATTCCTAGTGCTTCCATTTGTGTAGACCATCACATTGGTTGAAAGATTATGTGACAATTTTAATAAATGTGTCAAATAGTAAACAAAATGAGCTATGTTTGAAGTTCTTGACTATTGTAAAAAATTATGCTTGGCAAAAAGTTTGTGCATTTTTAAATTTCCAGTTAAAGGGGACTCTGTTGTGATCTGAACCACTAGGGGCCAGTATAGGCTCTCATGCCAAGAGATAGAAGTAAAGGGGATGTTCAGGTCTTATACAGGTCCTTCTCAAAAAATGAGCATATTGTGATGAAGTTCATTATTTTCTGTAATGTACTGATAAACATTAGACTTTCATATATATTAGATTCGTTACACACAACTGAAGTAGTTCAAGCCTTTTATTGTTTCTAATATTGATGATTTTGGCATACAGCTCATGAAAACCCAAAATTCCTATCTCAAAAAATTAGCACATCATGAAAAGGTTCTCTAAACGAGCTATTAACCTAATCATCTGAATCACCTAATTAACTCTAAACACCTGCAAAAGATTCCTGAGGCTTTTAAAAACTCCCAGTCTGGTTCATCACTCAAAACCGCAATCATGGGTAAGACTGCCGACCTGACTGCTGTCCAGAAGGCCATCATTGACACCCTCAAGCAAGAGGTTAAGACACAGAAAGACATTTCTGAATGAATAGGCTGTTCCCAGAGTGCTGTATCAAGGCACCTCAGTGGGAAGTCTGTGGGAAGGAAAGTGTGGCAGAAAACGCTGCGCAACAAGAAGAGGTGACCGGACCCTGAGGAGGATTGTGGAGAAGGACTGATTCCAGACCTTGGGGGACCTGCGGAAGCAGTGGACTGAGTCTGGAGTAGAAACATCCAGAGCCACCGTGTACAGGCGTGTGCAGGAAATGGGCTACAGGTGCCGCATCCCCCAGGTCAAGCCACTTTTGAACCAGAAACAGCGGCAGAAGCGCCTGACCTGGGCTACAGAGAAGCAGCACTGGACTGTTGCTCAGTGGTCCAAGGTACTTTTTTGGATGAAAGCAAATTTTGCACGTCATCCGGAAATCAAGGTGCCAGAGTCTGGAGGAAGACTGGGCAGAGGGAAATGCCATAATGCCTGAAGTCCAGTGTCAAGTACCCACAGTCAGTGATGGTCTGGGGTGCCATGCCAGCTGCTGGTGTTGGTCCACTGTGTTTTATCAAGGGCAGGGTCAATGCAGCTAGCTATCAGGAGATTTTGGAGCACTTCATGCTTCCATCTGCTGAAAAGCTTTATGGAGATGAAGATTTCATTTTTCAGCACGACTTGGCACCTGCTCACAGTGCCAACACCACTGATAAATGGTTTCCTGACCATGGTAGTACTGTGCTCAATTGGCCTGCCAACTCTCCTGACCTGAACCCCGTAGAGAACCTGTGGGATATTGTGAAGAGAAAGTTGAGAGAAGCAAGACCCAACACTCTGGATGGGCTTAAGGCCGCTATCGAAGCATCCTGGGCCTCCATAACACCTCAGCAGTGCCACAGGTTGATTGCCTTCATGCCACGCCGCATTGAAGCAGTCATTTCTGCAAAAGGATTCCCGACCAAGTATCGAGTGCATAACTGAACATAATTATCTGAAGGTTGTTTTTTTTTTAAATTAAAACCACTTTTCTTCTATTGGTCGGATGAAATATGCTAATTTTTTGAGATATGAGTTTTGGGTTTTCATGCCAAAATCATCAATATTAGAAACAATAAAAGGCTTGAACTACTTCAGTTGTGTGTAATGAATCTAATATATATGAAAGTCTAATGTTTATCAGTACATTACAGACAATAATGACTATCACAGTATGCAATTTTTTTGAGGACCTGTATTCAAATGAAGTTCAGATTCTAAAGTAAACTAGCTTCTCCGTACAAATACAAAACATAAAAAAGTTTGTGTACCACTGTTTATTTGTGAAACAAGCTTTTTGTTTAGATACTGTGAATGTTTTGTTTATTTGGCTGACGCTTTTATCCAAAGTGACGTACAATTTTTAACTTGTAGAATAAGAAAATATCATTCCTATAGCGCCTCTCAAGATAAAAATCATGAGGCGCTTCACAAAAACAAAATGTTGAAATATAAAAAAGCATTTAGAAAATGTTTAAAAATATATTTAAAATGAGCAAAAAATAGGCAATTGGGATTTAAAAGAAAAAAATGTTAAGAAAGGGAGAGAGTGAACAGGAAAGAGGGAAATCAGTGGATCCCGAGGAAGGTGGAATAGGTGGGGAGAGCAGAATAAAGAGAGAGAGGTGAAGAAGGTCATACAAAAGCCAGCTTGAACAAGTGAGTCTTCAGCTGCTTTTTAAAGGAGACCACTGAGTCCACTGATCTCAGGCTCAGGGGGAGAGAGGTCCAGAGTCTGGGGGCCACAGCAGTAGATGATCTGTCACCTTTGACCTTTAGCCTGGTGCTGCACAACCAGTAGGCTTTGATCACTGGACCTCAGGGACCTGCTGGGGGTGTAGGGACTAAGAAGATCACCAATGTAGGATGGTGCTTGTCCATGTAAGGCCCTATAGAGGCATGTTGTGATCTGTAGGGGAAACCGGAGTACCCGGAGGAAATCTACGCATGCATGGGGAGAACATGCAACTCCACGCAGAAAGGCCACAGCCGGGTTTCGAACCTGCAGCTGTGCCACCATGCGGTTTTATTAGATTTAAGTCATAAAACAAACTATTATGCGAGTAGACAGGACTTTCTCAGTGTTCAGACTCTAGAATACAACACTGCAGTGCTTGTAAGCTTGATATTTGGCTTTTGTTAATCAGTAGAAAGAATATTTGTGTCATCATTGATTTTTCCCCCCTGAAATTAATGTTGAAAAAAAAGGGTCCCAAGTGGTCATCCCTGAGGAACACCCGAGTTGTTTTAATGCAGGCAAGTCATTTTCTTCATGTTCATTTTTAAAGAAATGAATAAAAAGCCAATTTGTGTAGTCAGACAACTTTCTTTTATTTGTAACATACAAATAAAACACTGACAAGGCAGAATGACTTCCCTTTCATTGTCACTTACGAAAAGAACCATTAACACTCACGCTCAAACATGGAGTTTCCTTTAATTCCACATGTTTAAAAAAGTGTGTTGCCTGTAAAAGGCCAAGGAAAAGATGGATCCACAACAGCTTATATATATTTATATTTATATACAAAGAAGGGAAAATGAGTAGGATCTGACATGAGAGGTTTTAGAACAACTTATGAAAACAAATTACTCACTGGCTTCTAAATAAACTGGCCCAGTTTAAACCCACTTTGCAGCTTTTTTTTTTTTTTTTTTTTTTTTACAAAATCGTTCCTAAAACCGAAAAAAACTAAATAAAATATCACAGCCCGTCCCATCTGAATTAAACGTCATCACTGAGCAGATTTAAAGCCAGATCAGAATTGATTTCTTAAATTCATGCAAAGTCACATTTTTAAAGGAACTGGTTGAAACCTATAAGGAAATAATTAAACAAGTTACTTACAGTGATTTCAGTGTTTTCACTATTGTGTTTTATTTTTACATATGAAACCAGCCATGGGTCAGAGCCGTCAGACCCGGCCGACGGCGGTCGTTAAAACGACAGATGGGGATGGAAAATGGTCGACCTGAGAGAGAATCTGTCCGTTGATTTAGTTACCATCACCATCTACAACAGCATCTTAATGGTGACCGTACAAAACATGAAATATTGTACTAATGAGCAGGTAGCCCGACCCGAAAACCAGTTTTTGTTTAATCCTGATCTGTGAAAAACAGACCCAAGTCCCCAGAAACCTTCAGCCACAAATCCTGACTCGGCTATCGAGGTTTCTTGTGAGACATGGCGTGTTATTCTGCACTACTGGTTCTTACATTAAACCAAACATGATCTTTTATTATGACCACTAAAAAAACTACTTAAAACGTACAAAACGAAGACCCGCCAGCCTGCAGTGCTACAAAACAAACTCAGACCTGAAAACTAATAGTTTTCGGGGGGAAATGAAGCAAAGGGGCTTCTAACTCATTCAAAACGGGATCTATAAATGAATCTGGATCTGTCCGAAGGTAGAAACTTCTGTACCGATGTCTGAAACTATCCGCCCCAGGGTTTAAAACACAACAGGTGGCAGCTGTACACCCACCTTAGACTGGTTTCAGCTGATGAATCAGATTTTTAGGGTATATTTTAGATCTGCTTTCAGGCCCAGATGATCAGTTTCACTATAAACCATCAGAAGGAATGTGAAATTCTGGTTTCTCTCTACTGGTCCTCGTTTTTATCAGATTCATCTGGCCGTGAAAACGGAGAGAAGGCGAGGTTTAAATGCTGCTAAAAGCAGAATCAACACTGATGTTGGTGCTTTTGAGAAACGAGGCGAGTTACGCAAGCCTGAAAAGGTGAGTCGAAACCGGAGCGCCTTCAGGCACAGAGGCAGAGGTGGCTGCAGTTACTACAGGAACGACGGGCGTTTGATCGCTCAGAGAAGCGTAGAGACAAAGATGGCGGGGTGAGAGGAGGAGAAAGGTTTAAATGTGCTGTCAGGAGTAAAGCTAAGGGTTAACGCAGCCACAGCAGCGTTTACAGCAATGTTCAGGGTTTACATCCGCAGAGGGGGGATGGAATGTGAGTTAAAGGAAAACAGGGTTTCCTGGGGAGGTTTTAAGGGGCTCAAATGCAGCCTAAGATCATGACTGTTTCCGAGAAATCTACCAATGTTCTCAGTGCAAGGTTGTATGACTCAAACCGAGGAAAACGCTCTTCTTGGATCTGGCTTTAGGGCACTAAGGACTGACTACTCCAAGAAAAAAAACAACCTGGGTTATATTTCAGAAACAGAACCAGCAGCCAGTTGTGGGAGTTAAACTACAGATCAGGAAGTGAAATGGTTCATTCGAGTAGCACACAAGCCTCAGCTCTCATGTTTGTAACCAGGAATGAAAAAATAAAAATAAAAAGAGTCAAAGATAGAAGAAAGTAGCGACGTGAGAGCTCGCCTTGCATCCTGCCGTTGTAGCGGGAATAAACAAGTACATAAAACAGCTGCTCCTGGAACCACCGGTGGGTAATGTCAGACGCTCTCTGAACTCTCCGTCATTCACACTCAGCCGTGAAAGTTGCTGGCTTCTAACTGATCGACCACGAAGGAGGAGCGGCAGCTGATCAGTGGCAGCAGCCGCCACAGTGGCTGCCGCCGTGGGTGTGCCCCGCCGAGGCCTCGCCGTGTTTGGTCCGCCTGCTCAGGATCTCATAGGAGCAGTCGTCGCCACAGCAACCGGACATGCTCGGAGAGGTCTCATCAATCTCAAACCTGAGAAAAAAAAAAAAACATCACTTGGAGACTCCCATGAACCGATTTAGAGAAGCATAATAGAAACTCGTTTTAGACATTTTTTTATACAAATATAAATTATTTAGGCTTTTAGAGTCATTTTTGTCTTTTTTTTGTTGCCAAACCAAGTGTCGTCAGCTGAGGGAGTCCTGTTAGCTTAAATATGGATTCTAATGCAGCTCTGACACAGAGGAAACTTTAAATGTTTATAATTCTACTTCTGATGGACCCAAACCGTAAAGTTACGAGTTTGCTGCTCGCCCCAGAGAGCAGAGACAAACCAGAGGGGGAAACCATCGGCCTAAGCAGACAGGCTGTGCCGCAACGTGAGGAGAAGCAGGGGAGTTAACCATGTTAGCTTAAACTTGTGTGCTAGCATAACAATATTGTACTGATTACTGTCGTGTACCAGACAATTAAAGTAGTATCGGGCAGTTAATATAATATTAATACTAATAAGCGTCTGTCAGCAGTCTCATACTCGCTAATGTCCGTTCACGTAACGTAGTTTAGCTTAGAGAGAGAGACGCCTGTGATCCAGTTCTGGAGCTCATGCGGGCTTCTGTGAGCTGGATCTGACCCAGACACCAACGAGTCAGTGGGGCTGGCATGCTCTCCTTGTGGTCGGCGGTTCCGACCCAGAAACCAGCTGGCCCGCTGAGCCGCGCATCTCTTCTGGTGGTTGGTTCTGACATTGATCCGCATTTAATTTTTTAAACCCCGCCTCGGGTCTCCGGAGCCCAGCGCGGACCTCCCTGACCCGGTACCGACCGATGCGGGCTACAGAAGACCGTCTTTCAGCTGCAGAAACGCCCTCAGGCACGGCAATAGAGGCGTTTTTCCTCTGATCTGGAAACCCGTGGACTCGATGTCCAGACAGGCTGGAGTTGGTACCGCCTTCACACACTCTAGTTTATCAACATGAACACAATCCAACACTAGTAAACACACACTGACTGGATCACATGACCTCTCTACCCTAAAACTAGCCACTCTCCACACTGAGCCGAGGCAGCCGAGCTTCTGACTCCCTTTGGTTACGTCAGAGGTTCACATTTAGAAACAAGCTTGGCTGAGAAAGGTCCGGTTCTGCTAGAAATCTCTGCTGTTATGTATTTTAAAACCAAATATCCACAATAAGCTTTTTAAATAGCATTTTTTGGACAGTTTTATATGAATTAGAAAAATAATTTAACCTGCAATTTGCTCTTTAAAGAAGTGAAGAGTGTGAGAATCTAACCTGAGTGTAGACATAACTCTATAGGCAACAGGGAAAATATGTCTGCTTTAATGCTCAGTCGCTCCATATTTGTTAATTTACCACTTAAGTCTCCAGCTTCTGCCCCCTACTGGTTGAAAGCAAAATGACAACATGGTAAACAACCTGCTGCAGCTTTCGGCTCCCGCTAACGAGTGTAGGCCACGCCCACGTTCACTCTGGTTGTAGCGCTTTGCTTCGCCTCTAAAGACATTACTCTCTCACTTTTACTTCCACATGATGCCAACAGAAAAACCAGATTCTTCTTCTTCTTGTGCTTTTTACCATCAGCAAACCGAAAAAGCTAACTAGCCGTGATATGAGCTGCCAGCACAGTAAGCCGTGAACGCCACAAAGCAGGTAGAGAGCTCCCCCTAGTGTTCATACCAGAAATACAAAACCATTATGGGCGGCTTCTGGTCGGCAGAGGGCTGTCCCATGTGAGGTCGTTTAGGTTTCTGGCTCAACAACAACTGAAACCAGTTTGAAAGAAATAGCTTAAGAGTTTAGCGTTGCTATAACCCTCCCACTGTCTTCATGGGTGGCCCCGCCGGGAAAGTTGACCATTGAGCAGGATTGATGGTTTATCCCTGGGAGGGTAAAATCTTGTGCACTCACTGCAACGCTTCTCTGAAGAACTGGTACGCCCCGTGGTTGTGTTTGAAGACCGTCAACATCACTTTCTTCATCTGTGTGCTGGACAGAAAAGATTTCATTAGACCAAAGTTTCACTTGTGCCTTAAACGCATCACTGGGTGACGCTCTGCATCCATCTGCTCATCTTATGCATGTGTGAAGAGACCACGGGTACTTCCTGTAGAGGACAACGAACCAGGATTAACGCAGTACTACCCAAGGCTACCGGTTTTTACCTGTTAGCGATGAGCTGTAGTATCTGAATGAGAAACTTGCCCAGCCCTTTCCTTCGGACTTTGCTCTCTAACTGAACCTCGTAGCTGCGGCGTTGAGAAAAAGTCGTCAGACTAGACCAAGAAACTTGTGACTTTTACTGAAATGCAGAAAAACAAAGTCGTTACCAGTACAGAACCTCCTCCCCACACTCCACGTCGAATCTGAAGTGAGAGAAGGCCACGGGGGTGGAGTCGGCATCGCGTGCCAGCAGGTACCACGCCCTCTCGTCGTTCATCTCCTCCCTCTTTTCCCTCTCCTTCCATCCCCACTCGCTCTGCTCGTATCTACGGCAACGGAATGAAACAGCTCTGATTACCTGCATCGCTACGATGCCAACACACCTGCTCAGTGATGGAGACATTTGCTACTCTACCGCATCTTTCTGCGTGTAAATCACAGATCTCAGTAGAAAAGGAATGGTTTTGTCTTACAATGGCTGCATGTTGGCTCTGGTGAGCTCGAAGGCCCACTCCACAGCCAGAGGGTTGAGAGAGGTCACCCTCTTGCACTCGATCTGCAGGTTCAGCCTGAGCAGGATCACACGGTCACAAGAGTCCGGCAGCAGCAAAGCTAAAGTGGTTTTACACTTTCAGATTAAAACACGTCTGAGGTGGATGGAAGTCCTACGTACCCGTTTCTGTCGTACTTTTTGAAGGCCGGAAATGCAGCCAGCGGATCTTCAAGCTGCGAGACAAAGAAAGGAAATGTGATCACGACGGTTAGGTGGTTGTAGAAGAGTGGATGGAAGCAGCAGAAGGCATCACTGCTGCACGGGTTTAGATGTTTCCATGGTTACTGATGGATGAACACCAAACTTTTATGAGGAGTTACATTAAGTTTAAGGAAAAGTATTTGCTGTGTTGGTTTTTGTTTTTCAGCACTGTGATTCACCCCGATGTCGTCCCTCGGCTCCCGACAGAAGATAGCTCACTCTTCTACGTCAACGCTGGGTGTTTGGCACAGTTTGGGTGGAAGACCGAGAGGTCTCCTGGACACCGTTTTGTTCTCAGAACTATTTAATCATCACTTTAATCTGATGGCACTGAGCTCCAGCATAATGGAAAAGTCTCCGATGTTCACCAAACTGCTGTTGGATGAATGAAGGGCGTTCCTCTGGGAAGGTGTCTAGGCACCATTCTTTTTCATGTCTTAGGTGTGTTCTTGCTGTGTCTTTGTAAATCCATGCTTTCGTTCTTTTTTAAACACAGAAACAGTTTTGTTTACCTGTTTGTAGCTACAGTTTCGCCGACAGCTGCCGGCTTCTTCAGGCTGACGCTGATGGTGGCGCGTCACTTCCTTCTCCGTTTATCTGCGGGCAGCAGAGGACGTGGTCGCCCTCTACTGCCCGCTCTCCCCTCTCCGACGATGCAGTCCCATGCGTGGTCCAGCGTGTAAACTCCGTCGTCCCTGTTCATGGTCCCACATCCACGTCTCCTTATCTCGATTGCTTCCTTGATCCATCTTTTGTATTTTTGTTGTTCAGTGGTTATGATCCGTGTGTTGTCCCAGTCCATTACATGGTCTTCTCTTAAGCAATGATCTGTTACGGCTGACTTTTTTATTGTACTTTCTGCTTCTTCTTTTGCTGCTCTTGTGTGTTTACGATTTGCCTCTTTCTCACACTCCTTTCTATGTTCTATTGTCCGTGTGTTGAGTTGGCGTCCGGTTTCTCCTATGTATGTTTTATTGCATATCAGAACACCCCACCATACACAAAATGTCAGTAATCAGAACATTATATCACCGAGCAAACATAATAACAGAAGAGAGAGACCGTAAACAAGAGGACAAACACATACAACACGCTTTAAAGACCTGCAGATACCCGACATGGGCAATAAACAAAGGAAAACAACAAACAAAAACAGAAAGCAAAGAACAACCCAAAAAAAGAACCAGAAACCCAGAAAGACAAGAACCAAAACCAGTGATAACCCTACCATACATCAGAGGCATAACGGAAAAAATAAGAGCAACAATGAAAAAACACAACATAAACACACCAACAAAGCCATACACAACAGTTAGAAACAGACTAGTACACCCAAAAGACAAAATATCAGCTGGACAAAAATGTGGAGTCATCTACGAAATCCCATGCAAAATATGCAATAAAACATACATAGGAGAAACCGGACGCCAACTCAACACACGGACAATAGAACATAGAAAGGAGTGCGAGAAAGAGGCAAATCGTAAACACACAAGAGCAGCAAAAGAAGAAGCAGAAAGTACAATAAAAAAGTCAGCCGTAACAGATCACTGCTTAAGAGAAAACCATATAATGGACCGGGACAGCACACGGATCATAACCACTGAACAACAAAAATACAAAAGATGGATCAAGGAAGCAATAGAGATAAGGAGACGTGGATGTGGGACCATGAACAGGGACGACGGAGTTTACACGCTGGACCACGCATGGGACTGCATCGTCGGAGAGGGGAGAGCGGGCAGTAGAGGGCGACAACGTCCTCTGCTGCCCGCAGATAAACGGAGAAGGAAGTGACGCGCCACCATCAGCGTCAGCCTGAAGAAGCCGGCAGCTGTCGGCGAAACTGTAGCTACAAACAGGTAAACAAAACTGTTTCTGTGTTTAAAAAAGAACGAAAGCATGGATGCTTTTTCATGTCTGTTCTGAGACTAAAGCCTGAGTCATGCTTCTGCGTCAGTGCGGAGACGCGCAACGCCATCATCCGTCCTTGCGAGCCCGCTGGAAAGCCCTCGCAAGGACGGATGGAGTTGAGCTCTCTTGTCTAAACACCAGTCCGTAGAGACGGAGAACGCAAGCTTGTGATTGGTCAGGGCACCGCTCTCGTCTGCACCGCCGCCATTGCGCCCTCAAAAACATAAAGAGAGCCGAGAATAACTAGTGGCAGACACGGAGAAGATTGAAGAATACCTCGCGGAAAAACTCTAAAGACATGAATGTTTAATTCCCCCGTGACTGGAGGAGTGAAAAGATGCGCAGCAAGCGTTTTATTTGTGGACGGAAATGACAGAAAACGTGGGTTTAGAGGCGGCGAGCGCATGAAGAGGTGGAGGAGGATGAGAGACAAATCTGTCTGTGTTAAAAAGTCTCGTACATGCAAAAAAAAAAAAAAAAAACTACAATATAAACACACTATCTTGGACCGGAGGCAGGCAGGGACAGACTGGCCATCTGTGGATTCTGGAGAATCACAGAACGGCTGGCCCATCACTCTCCATGCAGGCTTTCAACACCTGCCCCCCCCCCAGGCCTAGTCAAAGTCCAGGGCTGTTTTTAGTCCCAGTCCGTCCCCGTTAGCAGGACAGAGGCTTCTCTTCATCAGACGATCTTTTACAAGATATTCTAAACAATCCCACATGATTCATCAGAGGAAGTGGCTTTCCTAGGCCTCAGCAGTCCAGTCCCAGATGGTTTCTTGGAGACAAGTAGCTTCCTTGCTGCCCTTCTTGATACCAGACCATCTCTGCTTTCAGATGAACTCAACAACATGCTCCGTAGTGGTGGAGCATGGAGCAACGACTCCACCGCTGGATCGATTTCCAGATACGGTTCTGACGCTGCTGGATTTGTTTTTTCAGTGTCCCTGAAGCGTTTTCCACATCTGCAGTGAAAAGGGTTGTTTTTGTTGTTGTTTTTAGTTAATTTTTATTTTTAAAAAAGGGACTTTGATATTAATTATAATTAATCTGATATCATTCTGGAGTTAATACAAACTGCCTTCATTAAACTTTGAGACGACATCGCTCGAGTTATTCTCCAACTTTTGAACAACAAGTGAAACAAAACGTATCAACAGCATCATCACCACGCAGAAGAGCTCAGATCCTTGTACGACGCTACTTTTTCCATGACTGCTTTCCGTTTGGACATAAAAAAATGAGTCAATCTAACGAGTAAAAATTGTGTTAAACAACAGGTGGCTGACAAAAAATATCAATACACAATCAGACTAAGAGCAGAACAGTTTTAGTTGTTTATTTGCCTCAGTCAGGAGCTGTAGAGACAAGTCGATGCTTCAGAGAATCGTCACAAGGCAGACAGCGCAGCAGGACAGCCCTGCTGTTCATTCATTCAACAATGTCATCTGTGGGATCAATGCAGAAACATCCAGTCGTCATGCAAAAGCTAATTATTTGTCTGTTTAATGGGAATCAGTGTGTGTGTGTGTGTGATTGGAGCTTGTTGGAGGAGCGGTTGCAGCTCAGAGCGGCTCAGCCTGACCCCCCCCCCCCCCCCCCCCCCCCGATGTCACTTAATGATCTCCATTAATTATGCATAACAAAGCATATGGTGGTGTTTTTAGCTTCTGCTGTCATGTGCAGGTCAACCATGAGTCTCAGAGTGAGTGTTTGCTGTCATCACATGATGTTTTACCGAAGCGGACGTTAGGAGTCAACATGGAGGGAACGTGTTTATAGAAAGCAATCACAGCTGCTCTGTTGGAGATGGTCAGCTGTCTCAATCTGCCACCAAATTACCTTATTGGCTGCGTCCACCTTGGCGCACACAGCGTCCATGGCTGCCCTCTCCTCCAGACGCCGGGCTTTCTTCTCCTTCGCTCTGTTCGACTTTCTCTGGCCACGGGAAATAAGAACAGAGGTGAGAGGAAAGCAGGGCAGGGAGGCTAAAGTAGTGGAAAACATAAATAATAAACCCAAAAATCATTCTGATCATCAGTCAGGATGGGTCTTTCTGTGAGATTTCATTTGAATTTAACAAATGTTATCAACCAGTGGATCATCTACAAATTAAAATACGGGGAAACCTAAGAAATCAGGGGAAAGGTCTTCAAATAGTTATTATCATCAAACTGTTGAACTCAGACAGAACATATGATTAACAGGAGACGTGTGTCAAAGTATCATGAAAAACTGAAGGGATCTTAATGATACTCATAGGATGTAGGGTTGTCACGGTAACCGGTGTAGCGGTAAACCCCGGTAAAAAAGTGGACAATAATAATAACCATCTTGTTTTTAAAACTATATTATCTCGGTGGATTACCGTGGCTGCGGTGTAGGCGCGATGACCCTTACCAGCCACCGTATCATCTGCTGAAGCTGCCGGCAGCACATGCGCACTTTGTTGTTTACAACCAAAACTTTCTTGAAGCTAAAGCTGAAATAATGGCCAAAGGAGGAGACGGCAGCGCTCAGGAGGACATTTGTTATCCCTCAAACAGGACAAAGTGGGAAGTACGGGCATGTTTTGGATATTTGAAGAATGCCGAGGGACAGCTGATAGAAGACGGCTATCCTGTTTGCAGCACATGCAGAAAAAGTGTCTGTGAAAGGCAGCAACGCTTCAAATCTCATGACACATCTGCGTGACCATCACCCACAACTCTACAGTCAACGCAAGGCAAGCTAACGTTAGCGTTTTAGCTAAAATGCGTGATCCGAGGATTTGGGTTGAGGGAGAACCTAACGAGTCGCTACATAAAGCAGCCGCAGCGCCGCTACCTGCATATAAACCGTGTCGCGGACACCGCCATGTTGAAATGACGCTATGCATTACGGGGCTCCCAGGGGCCGATAAGAGTTGGTCTCTCTCTGAGAATAATTATGAATTTAACAATGATTACTGCCTGATGACATTTTCCCACATCTGCAAAGCTCACTGGAAGGACACAAACCGAGGACAATACTTTCCTGATATAGGGTTTATTACTCAAGTAATGGTAAAAAAGTATCTGAGTAGAAGGCTACTTGAGTACTGAGTATCATCTGATCTAATATTTTTAAAATGATGACATCAAACAGTCATAAAATAAGAAGTTATGGGCAAATATTGGTATTTTAAAGACTAAAGGGGAAAAATGTAAACAAATAAACAACATAATTACAAAATAACACATTTTAGGCAAAATTTAGACACAAACTGAGGACAATATTTTCCTGATATACAGGGTTTATGTAGTTGTCTGAAAATGTAACACGTTTAAAAAAAATACCGCAATAATACGGAAAACCGTGATAATTTTGGTCACAATAACCGTGGTTATGTTTTCACACCGTGACAACCCTAATAGGATGTATAAAAAACTAGAGTCAACTCTGATTTAAGATGGCTAGCAAAAACAGCCATCTATTTTACGTATTTAGAGCAAAACGTAGCTGTTTTAGTGGCTGAGAAATTACCCGGTCAAGGGGGGGGGGGGGGCAAATCTACCACCAAATCCCCAACAGGGATCCCCTCAGCCAACCCTTAAAATACAAAAATAGATCACTTCCACGTGCTTCCAACACGTAAACGTGGGTGAACAGGGTATGAATGTATCCCAGGAAACAGCCCAGATGGAGAGGTAGTACTAGCTAGCTAGCTGATTGGTTGAGCATCCCAGCGTTCCCAACAGCCATTCATTATAAAGTCCAAGAATTTAAGTCTGATAACACTTCAGACCAACAACTTAAACCATATGATGTCGTCTGTAGCTCAGCCGTATGTGGGTTTGTACATAAAGACAACAGATAGCGTGATACTTTGGAACACATATGTCAGAGTCAAGGCCCGCGGGCCAGATGCGGCCCGCGGAGCATTTTTATGTGGCCCGCGAGATAAATATCAAAAATATATTAAAATATCAAAAATATATTAAAACTGGCCCGCTGGCCGATTTTACTGCAAAGACTACAACTCCCATGATGCTTTGCGGCGCCAGCGCAGAGCAAACGCGCCCCCTCCTTTGTGTTTTTTTCAGCGCCGAGGCAGTCAGAGGTAGTTGGGTCTCTGCAGCCCCGCTGTCTCGGACGAACTACACTCCTCTCACTCAGCGCCGAGTTCACTCAGCTATTTTCTGACGTTGAAGACCAGAAACGGAGATTCTAGCCGCTCAGTAATGTGTTCACGACTGAAAGAGAAAGTTTTCAAACTAACGTCCAGACAGCTGATATAACTCCAGCGAACAGCGACACGCTCAAACCAGCACGACTCTGTGGCTGCTGTCGTGTTTCCCTCCCGACACACAACAACACGGTCAAGCTGCTCAGACATGTTCATCAGCACAAAGCTATGTGAGCACCTGTTGTCATCTAATGTTGTCATTATTATGATGAAGATGAACAAAACAACAGGAGTCTCCTCCTCAGCTCAGATCAACCCCATGATGCAGGTATCTGGCTGGAACAGGTGAGCATCACAGTAAACCAGTGGAGCAAACTGAGCTTTAAATATGTCGGTTTTATGCTCTTTTTCTGCTCCAAAACATGAAAGTTAACAGGTGAGATGTTGCATTTTCATTTAAGATAAAATGATATTTTTATTTTGTTGTTGGCCCGTGAGAAAAGATTTAACCTACAGTAAACAGGAAGTGGAAAGGCTGCAGATAGATGAATAGAATAGAAAATCCCTTTATTGTTCCTCAGTGGGGAAAGCTAGACGTCACAGCAGCGATGACACTTATTACAGGAGAACAAAGGAGAATAAAAAATAAGAAAAATGAATAAACAAGAAAACATAAATCCTGAATAGATTTTAAAAATGCTGAATATACCACAAGTAATGAATACCTCTGATGTGTTTTATTTAAAACTGACTTGCTCGTGTGTAATTTGGTTATTCCACATTCAGTGTTAATGCAGAAATATGTTTGTTTCCAAATTTAAAGGTTCAAAATTGCATATATGTTGATAAAGAAAATGTGCAAATTTGCCGTCACTTTTTCAAAAAATATTAAGTTTGGCCCTCGACTCCGTCCCAGAGTTTCATTTCGGCCCCGTGTGAGTTTGAGTTTGACACCCCTGCTTTGGAATATTATGTGACACCATCACATCGAACATTAATGTCAGGATTTGACAAAAATGGCTACAGTTTAAGCATTACACATCTGAGGCTCTTAGCATTAAACTAAAGCAGTGATTTGTAGTTTCCTAAAGAGATGCCTCAGTTTGGCACCTGATGTGATAAATAACAGCATTACGTTCTTCTCTAAGGCTGCGTTAACGGTCTTCGACAAGGTGAATAAAGCATAAACCATTAGTGTTTCTGTTGGATCACGTGATCCCACTGGAAGTATGGAATCCAAATTTAGCATCAGCAATATTTTTCTGTATTTGGAGCATCAGAAAAAGTTTTATGGAGGAGGTGATGTTTTAAAGTCACTGAGAAACTGCATGCATGCAGTTTGTTGTTTTGCTGCTAATACAGTAGCAGGTGCAGCTGCATATTTTTGCAATAAAAATGTTATGTTGAAATGGAATTCATGCATTAGTTTTAGCCGCCCCCCCCCCCCCCCCCCCCAGTTAACTTTGCAGTTCTGAGTATTACCTCTGCACCAGGCAGAGAAAACACGTGGAGGGATTTAATAAATAGTGAAAGTGGTGAACGCGTTTGGAGTTCACGCTCGGCTGTACGGTGGCATGCTGTGAAGTTTGCACAGCGGTAACCCTCAACTTCCAGCAAGCTTGGTTGATGTTGTTTTATCTCCCCCAGTAGCAGGTGGGGAATGCCACCAGTCGGGCCTGTAGTGTAAAGATGTACACACACGGTTAGCTAACAGGTAAAGCACTAGCCAAAATGGCATTACGCGATCGGTAGCTTTAAATAAAGCATCACATTCCAGGGGTTAAATATTCAACAAGTACAGAACGATGCCGTGTTAATGCAGGGAAAGCCGTGTAAAGCCGAGTGTGCTCAAGCTAACATTGCGATGCTAGCTAGGCTGAGGGGATGCGGCCAAAAACGTAAAGCTCCACACCGAGCATCCAGTAAAACATCCACCCTTTACTGAACCGCCTCATACCGAAACAATACACCAAACACAAGTAACTCACCCCCATTTTGTAGCGGTGTCTTGTCCCCGGAGAAACACGCCTCTATTGTCCCGGTTAGTATCTTGACTCCGGCCGTTAAAAGGAACCAGATTAGTGTGACAAGGAGAGGGAGATAGTGTGCTAACAAGCCTGGATAGATGTTAACGCCGACCGCTGGATGCTCAAGCAGCGGCGGGAGTCGAAGGTTTGAGAAAAGAAACCCTTTTTTATTTCTCTTTAAGTCGGATTGGCGCCAAGACTACCGAGGCTGAATTCATCACAGCTCCTTCCTCTCTTCCTTCCTTCCTTCCTCTCGCGTCCTTTCTTTCTTTCCTCCTCTCTCCAGCCGTGCTGCCTTCACGTGTTCCTCGGACTCCCCAAACGTAAAACCGCGAATTCTAATACGTCTACATTTTAATAGATACGTTCAAGCTTTCTTTAATACGTGGATTTAGCTGCGTGTTTATTTAATTAAATGTGTTTAAACACACCTTCTTTCAAACGAATATATTTGGCGTGCAAATATAACATATACAAGTTCTGACTTTTGACATATTGTGGAAAACAACGTTTATATTGTGCGCTACATGACATCTTACAAAAATAGCTGTTTGCCTAACGAGTTGTTCAAAACACAACACAGCAAGAAAGAAAATATTCTTGGCAGCGGTGGGATTCGAACCCACGCCCCCGAAGAGACTGGAGCCTTAATCCAGCGCCTTAGACCGCTCGGCCACGCTACCGTATAGGTACAGGAGCGGAACATATTACATGCAGTCAGTGGGATTTTCTGTTCATGGCTACCTGTTTGATGTGTTTTATACTTTACGTATCACATTTATTCCTGACTCATGCTAAACGATTTTGCGAGCAACGGGGATACCGGAAATCTGGGGCCATTCTAACAGCACAGGTTTAGAGAGCTGTCTCGAAACCAGAGTGTCATTTTAGGTTTTGCCAGCGGAAGGCGCAAATTCTCCATTCTTTAAAGACAACAATAAAGTGTTTGAAAAAAAAATGTGAGCAGGTAAGTCTTGCTAAACTAAGACTAACTAAGCCTTGTGAAATTCTATTTAGATGGGAAAGACAGAATGTCTTCACTTAAACAAATAGTTGACTGTTAAAACTCAACAATCTGTTATCTGTGCTCATCAGGAGTATACAGAGCTGCTAGCTACAAAACAGAAATAGATCCATCCATCCATCCATCCATCCATCCATTTTCAGCCGTTTATCTGGAGTCGGGGGCAGGAGCCTAAGCTGAGAGGCCCAGACTTCCCTCTCCCCAGCTACTTGAGCCAGCTCCTACGGGGGAATCCCAAGGCGTTGTCAGCTGAGAGACATAGTCCCTCCATTGTCTCCTGGGTCTTCCCTCTGAGTCTCCTCCCAGTTGGACATGCCCGGAAAACCTAACCAGAGAGGCGTCCAGGAGGAGGCATCCTGACCAGATGCCCAGGCCACCTCAGCTGGCTCCTCTTGACGTTGTGGAGCAGTGGGTCTACTCCGAGCCCCTCCCAGCTTCTCACCCTATCTCTAAAGGAGAGCCCAGCCACCCTGCGGAGAAAACTCATTTTGGTCGCTTGTATCCGTGATCTCGTTCTTTTGGTCATTACCCAAAGCTTGTGACCATAGGTGAGGGTAGGAACGTAAATCAACCAGTAAATTTAGAGCTTTGCCTTCCAGCTTAGCTTCACCACAACAGATCGGTACAACGCCCGCATCACTGCAGACGCAGCACCAATCTGCCTATTGATCTCACGCTCCATTTTTCCCTCACTCGTGAACAAGACCCTGAGATAGTTTAACTGCTCCACTTGAGACAGGACCTCGTCCGTGACCTGGAAAAGGCGTTCTACCCCTTTTTCCATTCAAGACCATGGTCTCAGATATAGAGGAGCTGATTCTCATCCCAGTCTCTTCACACTCAGCTGTGAACCGCTCCAGCGAAAGCTGAAGATCACTGCCTGATGAAGCCAACAGGACCACATCATCTGCAAAAAGCAGAGACCTGATCCTTAGGCCACCAAACAGATCCCCCAGGCTGCATCTAGATATCCTGTCCATAAACGTTATGAACAGAATCGTTCCAAAGATCCTAGGAGCTAAGTTGTCTGAGGCTTTATGCCTCTGGTAGGGTCACCCAGGACAAACAGGTCCTAGGTGAGGGATCAGACAAAGTGCAGCCCATATACATCTTGTGAGAAACAATACAAATGGAAACAGTGTCCCCTTGCCCGGACGCTGGTCACGCCCTCTGAAGCCAGGCCTGGAGTTGGGAATGTTGGCGAGCGCCTGGTAGCCAGGCTTTTACCCAAGGAGCCCGGCCGGGTAGAACCCGCAGAGGAGATGTGGGTCTCCCTTTCCATGTGCTCATCACTTGTGGGAGGGGCCAAAGGGGTTGGTTGCATTGTGTGTTGGGGGGTAAAGGCAGGGACCTTAGCGGTCTGATCCTCGGCCACAAAAGCTAGCTGTCTGTACTTGGAATGTCACGTCTCAGGTGGGAAAAGAGACGGAGATGGTGGGTGAGTTTGAGAGGTTCCGGCTAGATGTAGTCGGACTCACCTCAACACATGGCTCTGGCTCCAGAACCAGTTTCCTCGAGTGGGGTTGGACTTCCTACCACTCTGGAGTTGCCCCCACTGAGAGGCGCTGAGCAGGGGTGGGCATACTAGTTGCCCCCGCTCTTGGAGCCTGTATGTTGGGGTTTACCCCAGTGAACGAGAGGGTAGCCTCCCTCCGCCTTTGTGTGGGAGGACGGGTCCTGACTGTGATTTGTGCTTATATAGCCAACTGCAGGGGGTGTTTGAGAGCGCTCCTTCAAGTGACTCCCTCGTTCTGCTGGGGGATTTTAACGCTCATGTGGGCAACAACAGTGAGACCTGTTGAGGTGTGGTTGGGAGGAATGGCCCCCCTGATCTGAATCTGGGCGGTGCTGCTGACCTCTACTCAAGACGTTGTAGATCGCTGGGAGGAATACTTCAAAGACCTCCTCAATCCCACCGGCACTTCTTCCAGTGAGGAAGCAGAGTCTGGGAACCTTGGGTTGGACTCCCCAATCTCTGGGCCGAGGTCATTGAGGTGGTCAAAAAACTCCTTGGTGGCAAGGCCCTGGGGTGGACGAGATCTGCCCAGAGTTCCTTAAAGCTCTGGATGTTGTGGGGCTGTGTTGGTTGATGCAGCTCTGCATAATGTTGCATGGACATCGAGGGCAGTTCCACTGGATTGGCAGACTGGGGTGATGGTCCCCCTATTTAAAATGGGGGGCCGCAAAGTGTGTTCCAACTACAGAGGGACCCCACTTCTGAGCCTCCCTGGTAAGGTCTGTTCAGGGGTTCTGGAGAGGAGGGTTCTACTCTGATTCAGGAGGAGCAATGTGGTTAGGGTTAGGGGATGAGGTCCTGCCCAGGGTCTTGTTCATGAGTGAGGGAAAGATGGAGCACAAGATCGATTGGCGGATCCTACATTGTGGTTGGGAAGTCACAAACCTCTACAAGAGATACCAGATGGTAAGGAGATTTGACAGCAGTCTCACACAACAACAGGTATGATTTCATGTGTACAGTTTTCTGAATAGTTATAACGTAACAAGCGTTTGGTCTGCAGTTTTAAGACCTTAAGCCTTTGAGCTTTTATGATCATTGCCTCGCCGTTGGACGTGACTGTATGGCATACTTGGCCAGATTTTCATATCATCCTCCACCGCTAATTCACACACATTCATTTCCGGACCAAGGGTCCCCAACTGCCAAAAAACTGACTGGGAGAATTAAAGTTACTGTCTGATCCCGTTTGATATTTGCCATGGCCATAGGTTGATGTCAGCTAGATCACTGAGAATGAATGCAATACACGAACATTCACTAAGTTTACATTTTTGGTTTTAACTATCCAATCAAAATCAGAAAAATCCAATATTTTATACAAAAGTGTAACATTTAATTTATATTTCCCTTTGATGGTTTCTGTTTACTCTATGAAGCAATAAAACCATCGATACAAACAACACGGCTTTTATTCCTGGGTCAAATTTGAAATGCTGTATGTGCAATTTGCCAAAATGGCCACTACATGGTGGTGTTGAGGCACAAAAGTTAAACACCAAGAGAATCAGAGCAACAAACTCCTAGCTAGTAACATGTTTCTAACTGTGGCCAAACCGCTCAATATATATAATCTCATTATAACCGTGCCTGGTTTCGTTTCCGTTTCTATCAATACATTTTTTATACAAACCATAAAAGACCATCTATAATTGTCCAAAATGTCCACCAGACAGCATCACACCATTACACCAACAGCCTGAAGTATTGATACAAAGCAGGCTGGACCCATTCTTTCATGTTGGGAACACCAAATTCTGACTTGACCATCTGAAAGTTGCAGATGAAATCAAGACTCATCTGACAAGGAAACATTTTCCAGCTTCAATTTCCTGTTTTTAGCAGACAGGAGAGACGCTCGGTGGTCTTCTTCTGCTGGAGTCCATCTGCTCTATGGTGTGGTCCAGAGAGGCTCTTCTGTAGACCTTGGAATCAATGTCTTTGAGGGTATCTTATTCCTGATATCTGTATTTCAGTGGGTGTCCATGCGAAGTTTAAACCTTAGTGTTGGTATTGAAGCAAATGCAAACACTGACACTTTTATACCCAAACAACAAAAAAGACTAGTTATAGCTGATACCATGGACGTAATTTTTTTTTGGGGGGGGGGGGGACAAGGAGGACATGTCCCCCCCCACTTTTTCCAAAGTCAAATTTTGACCCTGCACCTTTTACCATCCAAAAACAATATTACTTTATGTTAAATTGACACTGGTTGAGCTCTAGGACCAAAACAACCGTTTTTTGAAGCCGGTTTCCCATTAGAACATACTGTAAAGAAACCCCCCCATGTCCCCTGCACTTCTAAAGTGAAAATTACGTCCATGGCTGATACAGTTATTGGTTTCCCCCTGAAGCTGTTCTTACTAAGTAAAACTAAAAGCATGGGATATGTGGACACTGGCTGGCCACCTCCTTATTAATAATCCTTGTATGGGGGCTCATTTTGAGCATACACACAGTAGCAGCCCTCCACAGCACGCAGATTGTCCTGTCTCCAAACCCCGCCTACAGTCTTTTGTCTTCAGGGAGCCGGTCTCTTGGCTGGTGGAGAAACAGTCATCCCATTCATCTGTAGGGGGCGCAAACACAAAGTGAAAGCGAGGCCTGGTGGTAACCACAAGCCTCTCCATGAGTGAGCGATGCAACAACAGAAATATGTGCAAGTTGCACTCTGTCTGTGAGCATGTTGGTACCACAGCTCCGGAGAGAAGAAGAAAACACAATACACCCCCCTCAGACCTCCACCCACACATACTCCTATACCTGTGATCTCACACACACACACACACACACACACACACACACACACACACACACACACACACACGCACGCACGCACGCACGCGTTGATGAGGGAATCAAGGGGAAGGGAGTAAGCGAGAGAGAGAGAATCTACAGATGTACTGTGAGAAGGACCAAAGGGGACTAGTGGATGAGGAGGAGGAGGATAACGCCTCTTTTTCAGAGCTGCCTGCACAGAAATACACCACATAGAAAAGACATCTCATATATTAAGCAGTCAACAACCACTTGAAAGTGTGTGTTGTGTTCAAATGAAGCCGACAGTAATTCCTGTTCTAATTTTGATGCTGTTGGGCTAAAACCTTGTGTCTCTTTGAAAAATTATGTCCATGTTCCTAAAAAAAATATCAGCTTTATTAGTAATCTATAGTAGGACTAGATGGATGGATGATGGGATGTTTGGATGGATGGATGGCTGGTTGGTTGGTTGGTTGGATGGTGACGGATGGTTGATGGATGAGGTTCGTCTATCTGACGGACTCTCCTCTCCTGAACCCCTGAAACCTTCTTGGGTTTCAGGGGTTCTTACCAGGGAGGATCAGGAGTGTGATCCCCTGTAGTTGGAACACACCCTGCTGTCCGTATTTTTAAATATGGGGACCACCACCCCAGCCTGTCAATCCAGTGACAGTATCCCTAACCGCTAGTGTCCACCAGCGGGTTCGAGGATTGCCACCATGACAGGCACTGACGACCCTGCGGCTATGGAGGCGTGGAACAGGGCCCACTTGAACAGTTGTCCCCCGCCTCCCCTGGAATGTTTTGGAAGTTCTGTTGGAGGTGGGAATTGAAGGTCCTTCAGACAGGAGACTCTGCCAGGTGTTTCCAGCAGGCCCTCACAATTTTTTGGACCTGCGAGGTCTGAGCAGCTTCCTCCCACACATTGGAGCCAGCTCACCACCAGGTAGTGGTCAGTTGACCCCCCCCCCCCCCCCCCAAGGTCCCCGCCTTCAGCTGCCACAATGCACCTGACCCCTTTGGCCCCTCCCACGAGTGGTAAACCCATGGGAAGAGGAACCCACGTTTCCTTTCGGCTGTACCCAGCCGGGCTCCATGGGTGAAAACCCAGCCACCAGGCACTCGCCAATGGGCCTCACCTCCAGACCTGGCTCCAGACGGGGACCCTGGTGACCCAGGAACACTATTTCCATATATATTATTCTTCATAAGGGGTCTTTGGGCTGCACTTAATCTGACCCCTCACCTAGGACCTGTTTGTCTTGGGTGACCCTACCAGAGGCATAAAGCCTCAGACAACTTAGCTCCAGGATCATTGGGACACTCAAACCCCTCCACCACGGTAAGAAGGCAGCCCAGGGAGGGCTGTTTACACCCTCACCCCACAAAAAGCAGCTCTCTGCTTTGAATTCCAGTTTTTCCAGATAGTTATCTCAGGAATTTTGACTCTATTCAGCTATTTAAAATTATGCATGTTAGTTTTGTTTTGTAGATCAGAGGGTGACCCAACTCATGGCCCTTGGTTGTTGGGATAGACTCCAGCTTTATTGATCCTAAATATCACAAAGCAGAAACAGATGATTGGTATGAGGTTGATTTTAAGCAATGTTTGTACGGCTAAAGCCAAATAAAAAACTGTCGTCAATGGTATCTAGTGGTATCTACCCGTGTACAAAAGTACACAAACACTGATAGTTTCACTTACCCACTGAAAACAGTAAATGATAAATGACCCGCACTTGTATAGCGCCTCCCAGAGTAAGGACTCCAAAGTGCTTTACACTACAGTGAATCATTCATCCATTCACACACACATTCACACACTGATGGTGATGAGCTACATTGTAGCCACAGCTGCCCTGGGGCGCACTGACAGAGGCGAGGCTGCCGAGCACTGGCACCACCGGTCTCTCCGAACACCACCAGCAGGCAAGGTGGGTTAAGTGTCTTGCCCAAGGACACAACAGCAGAATTCTCTGTCCGGAGCCGGGATCGAACCTGCAACCTTCCGATTACTGGACAACCCGCTCAACCTGTTGAGCTACTGCTGGTACGAGACCTACACCACCACAACAGCTAGTACAGACAACAGCAGCCGTTTACACATACATTCAGACATTTGTACATTTTCTTATACACTGCTAAAAAAATATAGGGAACACAAAAATAAGACATCTTAGATCTGAATGAATGAAATATTCTTATTAAATTATTTGTTCTTAGTTGAATGTGCTGACAACAAAATCACACAAGAACGATCAATGCTTATCAAGTGTATCAACCCATAGAGGTCTGGATTTGGATTCACACTCAAGATTAAAGTGGAACTACACACTACAGGCTGACACAACTCTGATGTAATGTCCCTAAAACAAGTCAAAATGAGCTCAGTAGTGTGTGTGTGGCCTCCACGTGCCTGCATGACCCCTCGGGTGGATGGTTTCCCAAGGGATCTCTTCCCAGACCTGGACTAAAGCATCCGCCAACTCCTGGACGGTCTGTGGTGCAATGAGGCGTTGGTGGATGGAGCGAGACGTACTGTCCCAGATGTGCTCAACTGGATTTTGGTCTGAGGGACAGGCGAGCTAGTCCATAGCATCGATGCCTCCATCTTGCAGGAACTGCTGACACACTCCAGAGTTCTAGCATTGTCCTGCATTAGGAGGAACCCAGGGCCAACCGTACCAGCAAGTTTCACAAGGGGTCTAAGGATCTCCTCTTGGTACCAAATGTCAGTTGCCGAAGCAAAAGGACGGTCTAGTCATGCTCCACTGAGACCTCCACATTCCTGGATAGTCTAGTACCGGGCCAATCACAGTGCTGTCTGGTGGGCCAATCACAGTGATGTCTGGTGGGCCAATCACAGTGATGTCTGGTGGGCCAATCACAGTGCTGTCTGGTGGGCCAATCACAGTGCTGTCTGGTGGGCCAATCACAGTGATGTCTGGTGGGCCAATCACAGTGCTGTCTGGTGGGCCAATCACAGTGCTGTCTGGTGGGCCAATCACAGTGATGTCTGGTGGGCCAATCACAGTGCTCTCAGTTTGGTGGGTGGGATGTTCCTGCGACTGAGCAAAGCTATCATGGCGACGGCATGTTTGAAACGGCTTTGGCATCAACTTCGGACTTTGTAAACGTGGGCTTTTCTTTGAGGTAAGAGCAGATAGAGGTATTTAAAGTTTATTTAGAAACAGGATGCATTTGTATCTACTTTGACAGTGTGTGGTGGACCGCCCTGTTGACTGACATCTATAGCGGTGAGTGCTGTCCACTTTCATGCGGAGACAGTTTGAAAAACAGTAGATCCCACTCCCCAGCTGAGAGCTCTCAATAGGTTGTGGCCAGATTGTTTGCCAGGCTAAGTCAGGCTACCTCTGGCAAACACATGGAGGGCTGTCCAGCCCCCCCCCCCCCCCAAAAAAAAGAAATACCATCCCACACCATTACTGACCCACCGCCAAACTGGTCATGCTGTAGGATGTTGTAAGCAGCAAAATGTTCTCCATGGTGTCTCCAGACTCTTTCACGTCTGTCACATGTGCTCAGTGTGAACCTGCTATCACCTATGAAGAGCACAGAGAACCAGTGGCAAATTGGCGAATCTTTGTGTTCTCTGGCAAATGCCAAATGTCCTGCACAGTGTTGGGCTGCAAACACAACCCCCGCCTGTGGGTGTCGAGCAGGCCCGGAGTGGCTAATCGGGAGGGTCTGGAGAATTCCCGGTGGGCCGCGCGATGTTTGGGCCGCATGGGCCGGTGCTCTCGTTTTTGTTTTTTATCATTTTTATTTTTTTGTGCCGGTGTTCAGTCATGGCACTGAGGCCGCCGGGCTGATCTCATACGCTCCTCCCGGCTGTCTCTGGCTGGCTCTACCTGCAGGCTGCCGCTCGTTATTTTTTTCCCTGTATGCGCCTGTGCGCACCACGTGACCATGCAGTTGACGGAAAGATGGAAAGTAGAAAGAGCAAGGGTGGCGCGGAGAAGGCAAGAATTAAAAAGAGGAAAGCGCTGGAAACAGATGCAGCTAAATGTGCCAAAATGAGCACCTTTTTTCTCAAACAAGCTTGCGGTCTTTAACTTCAAATGAAGATAAAACGGGTAAGGCAAGTCAAGATGTTAAACTTTACCAGCTGCAAATCACCATTCAAGTTAATTAAGCATCAATAATGAATTATATGGCATCATGACATAACGTTATGTAATATAATTAACAGTATGATGTGACTGATGCCACCAAACTGTCTTGTAGCCCCTCAGAGTCAAACACAAGATCCAGTAGGCCTAATAAGCACCAGGCAGAAGCCCACAGTTCCAGAGCGGGCATGTACAGGTAGGATTACTTATTGAGTCAGTGAACTGAATATTATTAAAATTTATATGATGAAAACTATCCTGGCTCTATATGAAAGTGTTCTAAAATGCTAGATGATTCAGCATTGATCAGAAAGCGTGTAAAAAAGGAAAATGAATGCTGAATTGTGACCATTTTCACACAATGTAGTGTCAGAAGAAGAGCCAGGAGCCAGCAGTGAGGGTATTGCTCCTGTTGGGATAGAAGGTGAGCCAACTCATGTGCAAACATCAGTTTCATTATAATAATTTTAATGTCCAAATAATAGTAGTGACCTGTTGTATTTTTATTAGTAAATGCACAAAGCCCACAACAGATCGCTATTAGAATGAAAGTAAAATGAAATAAGCCTGCATATTTTGCCATAGAAAATATTTTACTTGGTTACAAAAATGTGTTTTCCATATCAAATGTGCTAAAGCTTTACAGATGATTATTTTAATTGTGTGCAGGTGAGTCTAGGGAAACTGGAAAAAGTGTGAAAGGGAGTGCTGAGTCATTTCATTTTAAAGGTTTGAAAATCTCAGAACAGCTGTTTGAACAGAAGGTAGATTGTTATATTGTTAGAGAATGTGTTGTAAAGAACAATGTTGGAGATGTGCACTGATGTTCAAATAAACCTACATTGTAAAGCAACTCTTTCTTGCACTGAATTACAAGGCTTTACCGAGTAGTGTGCTTTTGTAGACTATACACATAAAGTTCTAACATGATTTTAATAATAATTCGTTAAGTGGGCCGGTCTGGGGTCTGAAACTCCAGGGCTGAAAATGTGTCCCACTCCGGCCCTGGTGTCGAGTCTTCATAGCACCCTCATGGAGACTTTTTCTGACCGTTTGAGCCACCACATGCAAATTTGTGGCCCGCTGGAGGTCATTTTTCAGGGCTCTGGCGGTTCTCCTGTTCCTCCGTGCACAAAGACAGAGATAATGGTCGTGCTGCTGGGTTGTTGCCCTCCTACGGCCTCCTCCACATCTCCTGATGTACTGGCTTGTCTCCTGGTAACACCTCTATGCTCTGCACACTACATTCTTGCCACAGCTCGCATCAATGTGCCATCCTGGATGAGCTGCACCACCTGAGCCACTTGTTCGGGTTGTAGACTCCGTCTCATGCTGCCACTGGAGTGAAAGCCCCGCCAGCATTCAACAGTGACCACAAAATCAGCCAACCAAAGGAACTGAGGCCTAGTCCACACGTAGCTGGTTTTTTTTTTAAATGGACATCCGCCCCTCCAAAAACTTGCATCCACACCACCTCGTTTAAAACAAACTCTGTCCACACGTACCCGGATAAATGCGTTGTTAAGGACATGCCAGACCTGTAGGCGGCAGTACTTCCCCCGTTCTTAACCTCGTCCTTCGTCTGTGGTCTTCCACAAGGAGCAGTAATTCCTCTTGCAAAAACAAACAAGCAGAAAGCGCTTGGACAATTGATAAAGCGAGCGCAGCTCTGAGGGCATCCATGCTGTCGGCTAGTGTAAACACAGGTCGCACACGTGATGTCAGCATTTTTTTGTGGCGGAAAGTGACGTTGCGGACCTTAAAACTCCGGTTTTGTCCGTCCACACGCAGACACCCAAAACGGAGAAAACGCAGATCTTCACTTTGGCCGGAGTTTTTAAAAAGATCCGTTTTCGTGTGAAAAAACTCCGTTTTCGTGTGGATGACAGGCCAAAACGTAGAAAAATATCTACGTTTTGGCAGATCCCCGGCTACGTGTGGACAGGGCCTGAGACATGGTCTGTGGTCACCACCCACAGAACCAATCCTTTACTGGAAATGTCTTCCTAATTGCCTATAATTTCCACCTGTTGTCTGTTCCTTTTGCACAACAGCAGGTGTAATTGATTGTCAATCAGTGTTGCCTCTTAAGTGGACAGTTTGATTAAACAGAAGTGTGCATGACTTGGAGCTAAATTGTGTGTTCCCTTTATTTTTTTAGCAGTGTAGTAAACCCTGCAACCAGTTGAGCCAAGACAAAAAGTACTTAAGGCAGTTTTCAAATTATTTTACCTACTAATAGAAAAAGCTTTCCAAACCAACCCTGCTCAATGTTTCAAATCTGAGTTAGTGGCTGTAACACCCAACAGCAAAAACTCCAGTCGGGTGTTTATGATAACTGGTAATGATTATCTCATTGCTATGGAGGAATTTAGTCCCACTCTTCTTTGCAGAACTGTCACATTTCAGGGACAGCTGAGGGTTTTCTGGCATGAAAGACCTGTTTAAAGAGACAATGTGTAGTTTTTACCATTAATCTCTGTAAATATCCATCAAAATGTTGTTGATAATAAATGAAATGATGCCCAGTTGTTGAAAAATATTGGTGGCTTCATAACATATGACCATAAAAATGCTACTATGAGAGTCTTAACAAGAACTAAGAGAACGGAGCACATCACTCCTGTTCTTAGATCCCTACGCTGGTTACCAGTAAACTACAGAATAGACTTCAAAGTGCTCCTACTAGTTTATAAATCACTCAATAGCATGGGAGCACTTCGCTCTTGGACTGCAGGTTTACTGGTGGTTCCCAGAATATCTAAAAATAGGATGGGAGGCAGATCTTTTAGCTATCAGGCTCCTCCCTTATGGAACCAGCTCCCAGCTTTAGTCCGTGAGGCAGACACTTTGTCTACTTTTAAGAATAGGCTTAAAACATTTTTATTTGATAGGGCCTATGGTTAAAATCTGATGTTAGCCTAAATCAGGACAAGTGGGGGAGTAGAGGGAGGTGGAGTGTACAGTCGGTAAAGACGGCTCTCCCTTGCCCTGCCTCCAACATGCCTCCATCTAAATAGGATAGATTATCCAGAGTTAACTCTGTAGTTATGCTGCTATAGGCTTAGACTGCTGGAGGATACACTGACCACTTTTCACACTCTACTGCTTTCTTCTACAGTCTGCTCTTTAACTGTATTATTTTCTGCTATTTCAACTGTTAACTTTATTTTCTCTCTAAGTGTTTTTCTCCCCAGAAGAAGCTACAACGATGTTCTGCTGAGCTGTGGTGGCCTCATGGAGGGGGGCCATCGTCTAGCACACTGCTGCTAACCACTTAAACATTCTCCCTCTCCTGATAATAACTTTTTGCTTTCCTTGACATTGAATGTGCTACTACTAGTTTACCCGTTTAATTATAGATCCACTAGGATAAATACAATAAAGTTTATCTCTCACCAAATAGAATATTTACTAAGAAATCACAATGTAACCATAGTGTGTGTGCGTGCGTGCGTGCGTGTGTGCGTGCGTGCGTGTGTGTGTGCGTGTGTGTGTGTGCGTGTGTGTGTGTGTGTGTGTGTGTGTGTGTGTGTGTGTGTGTGTGTGTGTGTGTGTGTGTGTGTGTGTGTGTGTGTGTGTGTGTGTGTGTGTGTGTGTGTGCTTATACTGAGCCAGGATTCTCTGGAGGTTTCTTCCTGTTAAAAGGAAGTTTTCCTCTCCACTGTCGCTGCATGCTTGCTTAGTATGAATATTACTGTAAGACTGTGACACTAGTCAGCGACTCGATGCAATTTGCTGGGTTCCTTATTAGGGCTGTAAGAAAATATCGATGTGGCAATATGTCATGATATTTTTTCCTGCAATGTTGTATCGATATTCAAAAGGCGTGTATCTAATCTTTGAAAGCATTTACATGCAGACATCTGTGTATTTTATTTTCCTTTGGTGCAATTCAAACACCAACTGAGGTGGCAGCATTGTGCAACGGGTTTTGTTTTCACCATTGAAATGTAAATTCTTTTATTATGGTTCAGATACCTCATGTTAAACATGTTAAGTATCATGTTGGACTGTTTATTGAATTCTCCTACAATAAATTCAGTCTAAAAAAATCATTTATATCGTCTGACTGAATGTATCTATCTATCTATATATAGTGATATATTGTATAATCTCCCCTGCATCGAGATATGTATCGTATCACCACAATTTCACCAATACACATCCCTATTCCTTATATAGGAATCTTTTTTCTGATTGGCTTAATGAACTGACCTGTATTGGAATGTTTATTATGTGAAGTGCCTTGAGACGAGTCGTGATTTGGCGCTTTATAAATAAACTTGAATTGAATACATTTCCGATCTCATTCCTGTATGTACACCCAACAGGGCTCTGAGATCCCTTGAAAACAATCAGCTGGTAGAACCTTGGGTCAGAACCAAACATGGTTCTAGCTACTATGCTGCTCACATATGGAATCAGCTTCCCCGTGACCTCAGATCTGCCCCAACACAACTAAAACCCTCATGTGCTCATCAGCATTTACATGAATTCATGCTTTCGTTCTTTTTTAAACACAGAAACAGTTTTGTTTACCTGTTTGTAGCTACAGTTTCGCCGACGGCTGCCGGCTTCTTCAGGCTGACGCTGATGGTGGCGCGTCACTTCCTTCTCCGTTTATCTGCGGGCAGCAGAGGACGTTGTCGCCCTCTACTGCCCGCTCTCCCCTCTCCGACGATGCAGTCCCATGCGTGGTCCAGCGTGTAAACTCCGTCGTCCCTGTTCATGGTCCCACATCCCATGTCGGCGAAACTGTAGCTACAATAACAGGTAAACAAAACTGTTTCTGTGTTTAAAAAAGAACGAAAGAATGGAATTAGAAAGACACAGCAAGAACACACCTAAGATTTACATGAATTGTTTCTTATGCTAAATCATCTCCACTGTAACCTTCCCTGTTACTTTGTCTTCTCCTTTAGCTCTAAACTGTGATTCTTTCTGTGTGTGTTTAAATTTGTGTTTTAACGTTGTTTTCATGTCATGTCCTGATAAGCGTAAAGCACATTGAACTGCCTCTGTGTTTGAAATGCGCTCTATAAATAAAGCTGCCTTGCCTAAAAATCAGGTCTAAAATACACGGGAGCGGGTCTAAATCTCTGGGCGACGCCATATTAGATGCTATGTTTCCTTCTACGGGAGCCCATGAGTACATTTACTGGTTTATAACAAATGGTTACAACACTTTTGTCATTCTTAAATGTAGTTTTACACGTTTACCTCTTCACTTGTTGCCATTGATGAAAGAGAGTCCGATGTGCTCGTTAGTTTTGCTAAAGTTTGCACTCCCCAGGGCTTTTTGACCCTAGTGGGCATCCGTTGGTAAGGCCTTACTTCAACACAAAAATACGGCTTGCTTGCAACGATTTAGGTATCTACCGCCCCCTATCGCCAGGAAACATTCACACTGTCACTTTAAGGTGTTAGAAACCAGAGTCCATGGTTCCATCAGTTACAGCAGACCATCACACCACCACCACCGTGCTTTGATGTTTTAGTTAGTCTTACACCAAATGGGAATGGGACACACACTCCAGAATGTTCTACTCTTATCTCATCAGTTCACAGAACATTTCCCACGTTTGTGAAATTTCTTTTAAAAAATGGACGATTTGTTGCTTTTTGAGATATTTTAGCTTACTTCATGTTGTCAGACAGGTTCCATCGAGGTGACGTCTGGGTGTGGCTGCTGGAAAGGAACTCAGCGTGATGACTAATGTGGTTAATCACAGTTAGTTCATCGTTTGGGGGGGGGGGGGGGGTTTCAAACAGGTTGATTTGGGTATTTATGACCAAAAAATGCAAAAACAGAAGAAATCTGTGCTTTTTTACAGCACTGTAACATTTTTAGACTTCTTGGTTTAAATTTGGATGTGATTCTTCTGTGATCATGAAAACTAACGCCGGGTTAGGATTTTAGACATTTGCTTGTTTTAGGTGAGACGTTTTTATTTTACACAAACGGTGACTTCAGCAAGACGACAGGAAGAGTTTATTCTATAACATCCAGTTCTAGACTTCGCCTCCCCGGAGATGGAAGTGTCTTTTGGATTTCATAGCTGGATGAAGGGATAGAAGTCAGGGTGAGGTGGGAGGGAGGGAGGGAGAGCGTGGAGATGTGGAGAGAACATGGGAAGCCAGAAGAGGAGACGGACATTTTCCTCGAGAGGAGCAGGCAGACAGACAGGCAAGGAGAAGGCTGGAGACAGGTGGAGAGTGAGTATGGAAAAATATTGAAGAGAAAATGAGCAAGAAGAGGAGTGGAGGAGACAGAAAGACAAATGGAGAGGAGGAGGGAGCTGAGAAAGTGATGAGAAGGAGATGTGTAGCAGGATGTGTCAGGGACTGGAGGACAGACAGAATGGTTACTGACTAATGAGAGGAGAGGAGGGAAGGAGACGAGATGAGGAGGAGGAAAGGGTGAAAATGAGACTGAAGAGGGAGGAAGAGAAGAGAAGGGGTGGGGTAAGGTGGTGTGTGTGAGAGTGTGTGTGTGTGGTGGGGGGTGCTGGAAGTGAGCAAAGTGAAACTGGTGGGGGAAGGGAAGAATTTGCACGTACGCACACACACACTCACTCACACACACACTGTTGAAACTGCAAGCGGCAGGAAAGAGGAGCAGATAAGTAGTCTGAAAGATAGACAAGGGAGGAAGAGGAGAAGGGAGGGATGAAGACAAGAGAGGAGTCATCGCTGGAGAGGGTGTGGAGGAGCAAAGGACAGAGGGATGAAGAAGGGGGGAAGGCAGTGAGAAAAGGGGGAGGATGTGAAGATGGAAGGAAAGTTCTACATAAAAAGGAGATTATGGAGAAGATGGGAGAGGAGAGGAGAGGAGAGGCTGTTTAACGGACAACGAGGGTCACAGCAGCCAGTGTGTGTGTGTGTGTGTGTGTGTGTGTGTGTGTGTGTGTGCGTGTGTGTGTGTGTGTGCGTGTGTGCGTGCGAGCAGAATAGGGAATAATTCATGAACATCTATACCAAGACCGTTCACCTGCTGCTGTAAACACACACACACACACACACACACACACACACACACACACACACACACACACACACACACACACACACACACACACACACACACACACACACAGAGTCAGATTTTGACACTTTAAATAAAATAATAACGTAAGTATATGAGGCTATTTTTTTGAGTCGTTGTACATTTACACACACACCCTTAAATTGTACTCGGCACTCTTCTTTCTTTTCCAACACACACACACACACACACACACACACACACACACACACACACACACACACACACACACCAGTACAAGTCTGGACAGCCTGCCTCTGCACACAAATGCACAGCTGACGAATCACTCCGCCAATACACAAGCAAGTAGATCTTAAATTAGAAGTATTTGACGGAGAACTATTTCAATACAATAATTAATGTATTTGTTATTTTATCTTTGTTTTAAACGTTTAACGATGATAATATAAACTATCCGGTTGCACGAGTTAAAACGCGACACAAAAACAGCAGAGCTTTTTAGTACGAAGGAGGGCAGCGTGGACTGTAACGTATCAAAATGCGTGTTTTGTTTGAGGAACGCTGACGCTGAGAGTAGTTTAAACGCAATAGTTTCAAAGGGACTACTTTCAGTCAATCCAAACGGTTGGTCGGGAGGCGGAGCGGATGTCCACCTCACGTTAGTGCGGATGTTGTCCGCCCCTCACACTCACGGCTGCTTCCATCTATCCATGCAGCTCATCAATTAGGCAAAAATTAAACGGCTGTGGATGCAATCATTGTCTTCTAGCACTTCCGAGGGGATTATAATCCGCGGACGGAGGCCCGGAGAAGTTCCGAGAGCGCGGAGGGGGCGAGAGCGGAGAGGAGCGAGACGCAGGTACGGTGGGAGACTGTTATCGCGACTTGAACTACAAGCGTTACAAATGTAACGCGAGCTAACCGGCTAACGCTAGCATCACAGTCAGCGAAGTGTGCGCGTGCGGCCAGGGAGCGGTGAGGGAGGGGGGGTGGGGGGGTGGACTTGTGTAGTGCACTTTGTCAAGAGGAGGAGAGGAGGACAAATGGAGGGACGTTTTAACGTCCAGACGGGGGCAGTTAGTCCCGTCGTTGAACCTGAGGCGTCAAGGTCCCGGACCGGAATCCCAGAGTTGGCTTAACCCGAGCCGGAGAGTGGCAGCTGCTCTCCACCGCAGCCGGCCTCCGCGCTCAGGGAGACAAAAGGACTTCAAAGTCCGACACAGTGTCCCCGTGATGTCTCCGCCGCAGCGCTCTAATCCAGACTATTCATTATTTAAATAACCTGACTTTCACCAGATTAACGCGGCTCCAGAACTTCACCAGAAGTGAGCCGCTGTGTCACTTTTAAACGATGGCGATAAATGTCATCATGAGTTCAGACACGGGGACACAAGTGAGTGTTCAACTGTTCTTATGGAGCCCAGAGGACCAAAGAAACCTCTGGACTTCTGGTGGATCGAGTTAACCTGCAGTTTTAGGTCGTTCTGATCGATGCTGCCATGTCCGAGGCTCCCTGAACTCCCCCTCCAAGAGTCTCGTCCTCTAAAGTGTCCATCAGCAGAGTCTTCATCATGTCTGTTTGTTCTGAACGGTCCGTCCGGTGAAGTTGAACGGGCCAGCTGCTGTTTTCTCTGGGAGGGGGTGAGGAGGAAGGGAGGGGGCCCCGGCACCGAGATCAGCGACAGACAAAAGAGCTCCAGCGCGCTCCGGGCTCCCGCATTGTCTGCCCGTGGCTGCTGATAATCTGTCGGATTGGGACCGTAGAGGTGCAGCTAGTCAGGTTAGAAGTGCAAGGTGAGGGATTATGGGTTAATGAAGCGGGTCGGTCTCAGAACTTCGTGTCCTGCTTTGTTCCGGGGGCGATCCAAGTCACTGTGATGAAGATGATGGTGATGATGAGTGAAAAGCCGCTCCTGCTGGTGGAAGTTCAGGATTGTTTTTGTTGTTCCGTGTTTTCCAGAGAACCCTGAAGAGTTTGAGGACTTTTAGAAATCATCACCTTGAACAATTTTATGTCTCACCTGACTTCATCAACAGCCCTTTTCTCTGTACGAATGTCCAGATTTGTGTGATTTTATTGTTTAAAAATAAAATATTAGACATCTAAGATGGTGATTTAAAGTTCCTGTTCTCGAATGACAGTCAAATTAAAATCTAGAATATTTTGATCTGTTAGACTTGATATTTATCTGGAATTGAGTAATTAATTATTATTGAAATATTACTCATTTGTCTATTTAGTCAGTAAGTGTGTTTAGACAGGAAGAGGGAGCTGGGATGCTCACGTGGGTCCAGATTCTGGTCTCTGTGGCCTAAAGGCAGATGACCTGTCTAACCTCACACTCACACAGTCTCACTGCTTCCTGCTGCCGTGGTGAGACATACGCTAGCTAGCTGAAGCTCCAGGCTACATGTGAGGGAACTATTCAGTCTGAAAGTCTGAAAGATCCTTGTTGACGACAACCCGTGTGACCCCGTTAGGTTGGTGTTTGGGGTCGGCGGTGTGCAGCTGCACGATCAAAGCGAGTTAAACATCTGGAGGTGCTGGTTCCTCTGTGGAGATGTCGGATCTCTGCAGAAGAAGCTGGTGCTCCAGAACATCTGACGTGTCCGCTGCAGTCAATGCAATATGTTCATGTCATGTTTAGGTGCATGGAAGCTCACCATAGATGGTGTAGTTGTGGATATTTTCCACCATCATTTCATGATGTCATTTCCTGTATCAACACGCAAATACATGCAGAGTTACGTGTGTGTGTGTGTGTGTGTGTGTGTGTGTGTGTGTGGTGCAGCAGCCTCTCATAGAAGAGTTGTTTCTGGTTGCCTCGGCACAAAGTTTAACATAGAGGTTTGGAGTTGAATTACCACACAAGGCTCCTGAGAGTGTGCGTTGGTGACGAACAGGAGCAGAACTACACACACACACACACACACACACACACACACACACACACACACACACACACACACACACACACACACCAGTGTAATGTATGAGGCTTAAAGGGACTGATGTATAACCCCTACACTCCATCATAAACGTATATTACCATTTTATTTGTAAAGAACCATCAAATTACATTAAAGGTGAACAAAGTCCATTAAAACCAAACAAATCATTATATAATAATAATAATAATAATATTGTAACAGGAGTGACTGATGGATAGCCCAGATGTTTACAGAAGCAGGAACTTTATTGTAAAGGGGCTCTGCTCTTTGTTACTCATCCAATGAAATGGTTCACATTCAGACTAGTTATCCATAGCTGTGTGTACCGATGTTGGGGCTGTAATCGATGATCACGTCGCTTTTTCTGACCGATTCCGTCACTAGTCGTATTCACGAAGCTACTTTACTATGTTAGGTTTTAGGGCAGAAAGCAGCAAAGTCTCGTTACACAGCAGAAAGGTCTTTATGTGATGGTGTGTGTGTGTGTGTGTGTGTGTGTGTGTGTGTGTGTGTGTGTGTGTGTGTGTTTTGCAGTCATGCCCTCAGTGATGGAGCGCTCTGGAGCCGGGGTCCTGTCCAGGAGTAGAGCCAAAACCGTCACCAACGGCAACAGCCAGCCACACTCTGAGGAGGAGAGCAGCGATGAAGAGCATGCTCATGGTGAACACTTGTTGATCTGCAACACACACACACACACACACACACAGTTCCAGTTGCATTGCTGCAGTGCTGCACCTGTCCCCTCCTTCATCCCCGGTTCTCCTCTGCAGAGGCTGCATGAGTCTTGCCGTCCTTCACCCTCTGAGCTCACGTTGGAGTTCCCGGGCTCTTGGATCACACACAGCTGTTTAATTTTAAATCAATGCTCTCCAACATCTTTGTTTCCTTTCTCAGCATCTCCTCTCTTTAGTGCCCTCCTTCCTGGCTGTGCTCATGTGATACATCTTCTCCTGTTTCCACCATCCTCTGTCCCCTAGGAGTGTGTGTGTGTGTGTGTGTGTGTGTGTGTGTGTGTGTGTGTGTGTGTGTGTGTGTGTGTGTGTGTGTGTGTGTGTGTGTGTGTGTGTGTGTGTGTGTGTGTGTGTGTGTGTGTGTGTGTGTGTGTGTGTGTGTGTGTGTGTGTGTGTGTGTGTGTGTGTGTGTGTGTGCTTCCACAGTCTCTGTTCTCTCCTCATCGCCTCCATTTCTTGCCTGCTGTAGCAGAACTCTTAATTACCTAATGTCTGCAATCAGCTGTGGCCGTGATCCTCCCGTTTCCTTTTGCTTCATCCCGAACGGTGAGGAGGAAAGGCCGTAGTAACAGAACCCTGTGTCTGGTTCTGACCCAAACATGACTAAGCTTCGGTCAAATCTACATTCTTGTTGAGGTCAAAGGTCTGGAGAATGTTCAGACTGGTCCTGAAAGATAGACAACGCGGTTCTGATATGCTGCTCTGTGGAACTGGGTCAGAACCACAGCCCGAAGCAGATGGACTCCAGCAGCAGAACACACCTGGGCCCTCCTCTACCAACCGGACTCCTGCACAGATCTGTGTTTGTCGTGCGTTGGAATGATTGTTGACCGTCTGTAACCAGCTCTGACTGCGTACGGACATCTAGTGGTGGAACGGGGGAACTGAAGCTCCGTCCTCCACGCCTGTTCCTCATCTAGGAAATATCTGACCCAATAAACAACTGCCAGCAGGAGGCCCCCGGGTCGACCCAGGACACGTTGGAGAGGTTAGATCTCCAATCTGCTCCGGGAACGCCTTGGGGTCCTGCCGGAGGAGCTGGTGGAGGTGGCCGGGGAGAGGACGGTCTGCAGCTCCCTAGTTGGGATGCTGCCCCCGCGACCCGGACCCAGACCAGCGGAGGAAGACGACGACGAGTAAACAACTGTCTGTGGAAAGTCAGCTGTATCACATGACTGGTCACCTGTGTCTGACGGGAGTCCGACCTGGTAGCACGGCTGATCTGTGTTGTTGGAGGAAAGCGTGCACTCTGGAGGGAACGACTCTTCTGAGAGTGCGTTGATCTGATTGGTGAGAATCCAGAGAGGCTCCTGAGGAGACCCTGGAGCTACGCTGTGGTTTGGGACCCTTTTGTGGAGCGACAGCCAGACCAAACCAGTCTGATACCAGTCCATGTTCAGTAACCCGCCTGAACTTCTTCCACTGTGCTCCTGGAACACACGTGTTGCCAAGGTAACCAGACTGACAGCTCAGATCTCGGCCTATAAACAGAACATGCATACATCTGTCCCGACCGCGGCTGCAACCTCTACAGAGCTTGTTCTCTCCTCGATCACGCTGTCGATAAAGTTTTCTCTTCTTGTCTTTCTTGGGAGGAACGCACAGGTGGGCTGTATCAGCGTACACGTGGCCACTGCTTGTTTCAGAAGTCAGGATTTTGGTCGTTTGTACAAACCTTCTAAATTTTAATCGGAAGGAACGGAGGTCCGTCACTACGAACGAGGGCCCAGGTCTGCCAAGAACAGGAACACGAGGATCACCAGACCAGAGGAGGCCGCTAAACGTTTCACTGCCTGGTTTCCTCTAACTGTTGTGGGAATTAGCCGACGTGATCACGAGTGATGTGATGTGATGGGGTTAGGGTTAACCCTTTAAGATGTGGTGGAACGAGAGACTGACATCAGTATGGACCAGAACCTCTGAGATGTTTCTTTAACCATGTTGGATCATACAGCTGTTGTGCAGAAGGAGGTCGTCCACCTCAGTACGACCCAGGTGTACCTAATAAAGTGGCCACGTCATCTCCACTTGGTGCTTCGTCTCCCGTGTGTCTGGTACCAGACCCTGGTGGAAGGACGGTTGTTTAAAACACAATTCTGATGTTTCTGCTGGTCTCACAACCACACGCACACACACACACACGCACGCACGCACACACACACACACACTACTGTCCACCACGCCTCTCGGTTCATAAACGATCATCTTGTCCTCCACTTGTCTCTGACAGACAGCATGATCAGAGTGGGCGGAGACTACCAGGCCCAGATCCCAGAGTTCAAACCAGGTAAGAGGAGTTGAGGAGCAGGTGGGTTCAGGCCAGGAGGAGCTGATGGGAAGATGTTTGAAGTTCTCTGTCTGCTGGGAATGTCAATGCAGCAGATCCATCCAGTTGTTCTTGTTCTCAGACACACCAGCCCGCCACTGTGAGAAGGACCAGAGGAGCATGCTCGTCTGGTGTCCTAATACTCAGCTGTCTGATGCAATGTGTAAGCTACACACGCACACACGCACACACACACACACACACACACACACACCAGCGCTGATGTTGAAACCTGACCTCTAGTGGACAGGCTGGATGGGGAACCACACGGTGACTGACTCACATGTTCTCTGTTCTTCCAGTGGATGAGTACATCCTGATGGCTAAAGAAAAACACGGATACAACATGGAGCAGGTACACACACACACACACACACACACACACACACACACACACACACACACACACACACGATGCAGAGGAACCTCAGGACGAGCGGGTAGGGCGTGACCCGTCTCTGGTTTCTCGATGCTCTGTCCTTCCAGGCTTTGGGAATGTTGTTATGGCACAAACACGACGTGGAGCGCTCCCTGGCCGACTTGGCCAACTTCACACCTTTTCCAGACGAGTGGACGGTTGAGGACAAAGTCCTGTTCGAGCAGGCCTTCAGCTTCCATGGGAAGAGCTTCCACCGCATCCAGCAGATGGTGAGCAGCAGCGCCGCCGGCCGTTACCGCCGGAAGAACCCGCTCACGTCTGGCTTTTGTGTAGCTTCCAGACAAGCTGATCTCCAGCCTGGTGAAGTACTACTACAGCTGGAAGAAGACCAGAACCAGGACCTCCGTGATGGACCGACAAGCCCGGAGGCTCATCAGCAAGAGAGAGAAGGATGACAGGTTAGCACCGCTAAGGCTAGCGTAACGCTAGCTGCTGGTCTCAGATCTGATCCGACGATCTGAGCGCGTCGTCCTGGAAACAGATCTGGAGTCAGATATTAGACGTGTTTAGCTAGAGGCGGAGCTTCAGTGTCTGATCTGTCTGCAGTAACGATGAGATCGAGGAAGTGGAGCCGGCCAGCGACAGCGACTTTGAGGTTGATGCCAAAAAAGAGGTGATTAATAACGATGACGTCATAGCGTCCACGCGAGGCTCTGGCTGACGTTTTCTGATTGCGTTACCGAGCAGGCGGTGAAGCAGAACCCCAGCAGCGCCAGCTCGGACAAGACGGTCCCGAGTCGGGCCGGGCCGGTGAAGAAGGAGAGCCTCGGGGCTCAGTACCGACACCATCCTCTCAGAGCCCGGCGCCGACCCCCTAAAGGGATGCACCTGGAGCAGGCGGACATCATGGCTCTGTCAGCCTCCCACGATGCCGGCGCCCTAACCGTCCGCCAGCTGGACACACAGCTGGTGTCGCTCAAGAGACAGGTGTGTCCTCTCAGACCGTGTTGGACCTGCTGCTCGTAGCAGGTCACTAAAGCGACGGGTGTTCCTGTCTCCTCTCAGGTCCAGTCCATCAAACAGACCAACAGCAGCCTGAAGCAGAGCCTGGCTGAAGGAGTCGACTCCTTCAGACCCTCTGAGGTTGGTTTCCACGCCTCCGGCCTTCTTTCTCTCGTTCAGTCTCAACCTTCTCTTGTCCTCATGCTGCCGTCTCCCCTCAGCCCGCCCCCAAGATGAACTCCCGCTGGAGCACAGAGGAGCAGCTGCTGGCCGTCCAGGGTGAGTCCGGACCACGCACTCATCCCAGCTTCAGATACGTGGGATCGAACGTTCTAGTAGGACATGAAAGGTTTAAGGCCAAAGAAGCATCAGGTTTCGTTAAAACGTCGTCGGTTAGCAAGAGGCAGCTGAACGCGGTCGTGAGCAGCTGCTCGCATGGAAGTTACCTGTAAACGCGCCACACTCACCTCCAGCTGGTGTTTGTTTTCCAGCCATCCGTCGCTACGGGAAAGACTTCACCGCCATCGCTGAAGTGATCGGCACTAAAACGCCAGCTCAGGTGGGCTTTCCGGTTACTCCTCTCTCCTCATCCCACCTCCTGAAGTTCAGCATGTTTTTAGTCCCCACCATCCATCTTTCTGTCTTCTGTCCTCCTCAGTGTCCTTGAAAGCAGCACGGCCCTCCGCCGTCATTCATTCTCTCTGTAACTCCGCCCCCTTCTCCGTTCAGGTGAGCTCATTCTTCGTGAGCTACCGGCGGCGTTTTAACCTCGACGAGGTGCTGAGGGAGTGGGCGGCCGAGCAGGTGGCCACCAGCCGAGAGCAGCGGGACTCGAGGAGGAGCAGCGAGGAGGTGGCCGCAGACGGAGGAGCCGAGGAAGAAGAGGAGGTGAGTTCAGCAGGAGCAGGCCGCTACTCCCAGCACCGGCATTCCTCAAACGGAACACGTATTTATTATTCATCTTCCCTCCGTTCTGCAGGTTAAGATGGAAGATTCTCCCCCAGACACCGCCAGCATCAGCTCCTCCCCTCCTTCCTCCACTCAGGCCGCCTCCTCCCTCTCCCAGCCTCCCCCTCTGCTGCGCCCGGCTCCACCAACAGCACCTCCAAGCCTCCTCCGCCAACCGCCTCCACTTCAGACACGTCCGCTCCAGAACCGAGCGCCGCACAACCACCCGCCCCCTCCCCTGATTCGCCCCGCTGTGACCTCCTCCTCCTCCTCCTCCTCTAGTCTCAGGGGCTCTCCTCCCAGCTCCTCCTCCACTGCGAGCCAGATGCCTCCATCACTGGTGGGGCTGAAGGTGGAGCAGCCCAGCACACACTGATGCTCAGATCAGCGCTGAACAGACGTAGGATGGTTAGGTCACATGATCAGTCTCAGGTCCTGAAGGTGACAGCGATTATTTAATCACCCCCTTTACTGTACCCGGAAACACCTACCTCCGTCTCACTCACACACACACACACACACACACACACACACACACACACAGGAAAGAAGAGCTGCCCACCTTAGGTGTGTTCTTGCTGTGTCGTATCTCCAATTCCATGCTGTAGTTCTTTTTTTAAAACACAGAGCAGTTTTGTTTACCTGTTTACCCGCAACGTAGCGGGTAAACAGGTAAACAAAACTGCTCTGTGTTTTAAACTACAGCCTGGAATTGGAGCTGCCCACATCTGAGCCATACCGGCGTCTCCTGACGCGTCCCGGTTTGGATCCTGGGAGCAGATGCGAGTCTGCTGTTGTTGTTGTTTATCGTTTAGCTAGTTGAGCTAAAGTGGAAGAAGTAGTGTCGTCTGCCGTCCTAGCCATGTTTAGTGTTAGCTGCAGTGGTGCGGACGACTAGTTCCTGTTGGTAGTTCAGATCATGATTATTGACTCAGCATTAAGGAGTAAAGGAGCCTGGACTGGACTTGGTGCACACACACACACACACACACGCACGCACGCACGCACGCACACACACACACACACGACGCCGGACTGATTCCTTTAAGCTGCCGAGAGTCAGAATCACACTCTACTTCCTTGTTTTGTTTCCTAATTTGATAAAATGCCGAGTGAAGCTGTTTGTCACAAACTAATAAAGAAATAAAGACCGCGTTGGTCCTAAGGGATGAGTTGTAAAGGTCAAAGGTCATCTGGAGGTACTTCCTGCTGTAACCAGACCATGGACGTAATTTTTGGGGGGGACATGTCCCCCCCACTTTTTCCAAAGTCAAGCTGACCCCTGCGCTTATCCAAAACAATATTACGCTATGTTAAATTGACACCGGTTGAGCTCTAGGACCAAGCGGAAAACAACCGTTTGTGCTGAAGCCTGTTTCCCATTAGAGCATACTGTAGATACCCCCCCCCCCCCCCGTGTCCCCTCCACTTCTAAAGCAAAAATGACGTCCATGAACCAGACAATGCATGTAGGTGTTTTTGGTTTCTTGTGAAATAGTTTGAGACACTCGAGTCTTTAAAGCGTCTTCAGCACCGCCCTGATGTTCCTCCATCCCTTTAGCTTTAAGCCTTTTGTTTGTTTACCTCCAAAGCCTGCTTGTTTGTGACGTTTGTTTACACTGGAGGCAGAGCTGGGTCTGGTCAAACATATTTAGACCTAAACCCCGGTTGGTTCAGCACTCGTCTGTCCCGGGAAGATGAAACCTTCATAAGAGTCTCCGAACATGTTTGTGTGACTTATGACCCTGAAACCTGAAAATCTGGACCGGAGTGTGGGACCTGGACCGGGCCCGGACAGGAACACAGTGGTCCAGTCAGTCATGATCATAGTTTTATTACTATCATTGTAACTTTCATCATTTTGTTTTTGCACAAAAGAACAAATAATACATTTTTAAGGAGCTGATCGTTCCTCCCGACCCCCAAAATAAAACCGAAGCCCACCACTACAGTTACACGTTTAAAATCAATGTAAATTACAGCCATGTAAAACCAAACATGTCCAATAAAATCAACCCTGAAAGAGAACCCCTAACAGCCTGAATCAGAACCAGAATCGGACACCCAGCACCATGATACAACAATCAGCTGTTCGACTCGGTCCCGCTGTTCTAGACCGGAGAGAAGATGGTGTCGTGTCGCGTTAGCCACGACTAACCGCCGGGCGCTCTCCACGCACCTCGGCACGTTTTAAATGTTTTCTTCTTCAGCTTCCACTAAACCGGAGCGTCGGTGGAGAGGAAGCGACCTCTGCTCGGGGTCAGCGAGTGCTCTACAGCAGAGGAACCAGGACCAGCACTCGCTCTGAAGCCGTTCATAAAGAAGAATCAGCAGTAGTCACCACCACCATCATCATCATCATCATCGTTACAACTAAACAGATCAATGTGAGGGGGGGGAGGGAGGTGTTAAACCTGTATAAATGTGCATTAAACCAAAAAGAAAGGCAGCAATGATATGATCCAGACCCCCCCCCCCCCCCCCCCAAAATAACCTGTACATACCCAAAGCTCAACGACACAAAAATATATTATCAGATCAAAGAAATAATTCACCATCCGTCAATTGTTTTCCAGTGATTTAGTTTTTCCTTGTTTAGTTTTTATAACACACACACACACACACACACACAGACGTTTCTGGTGTGTGTGCTCTTTGTGTGTGGGGGTGCGTCGGGTCAGGGTGGACATTCAGGACGCGAAGGCCAACCGAGTCATACCAACATCACGAGGGGCGGGGCACTTAAATCATCTAAGCAACCCCCCCCCCCCCCAAAAGAAAAAAAACATTTTTGTCTAAGAAAGGCAACTTAAAGTCCAACAGAACCTCCTCAGGTTCTACTGCACCCCCAGTGCCCAACTTGTTTTAAAAGCATAAAAGAGACTAAAGGAACGAGTTAAAATGGGGGGGGGGGGGGGGGGGTGTCCAAATCAGAGGGAGAAAACAGGAGATACGGCGGAAACATGGAGGTGCTTAAGAACCGGGAGATGAAGAGTTCACGTGTGTGTGTGTGTGTGTGTGTGTGTGGGGGGGGGGGGCTCCAAAGACGAAGGTCCTGGCTCAGCTGGAGTCCGCTCACCTCTCAGGACGACGTGAACAAAGCTGCAGGAAGCCCCCCCGCCCCCATAAACCAGCTGACAGCAGGAGCGTGCACGGAAACTGAATAAATAGGGAGAAACTGGAGTGGTCCAAGTGATCAAAGTGTGACTCCAAAAAAGAAACCAGAGAAGATCGGACATGCAGAAGAGTGGAACGTCTTATTGGAACAGAACAGAAGCCCCACCCACCCACCCCACCCCCCAGGACAGGGAGAGGAGTCAGATCAGGTCTGTGGATCTGGAACCAGCAGCCGGTGACCCCGTCCCGCCTGCAGCTCCGCCTTCTCTCGTTCGCGCTCACAGTTTCAGCTCGTTGGCGATCTTTGAGGCAATGTTCTTGAAGGCGATGGATGTGCCCGAGATCCGCTTGAAGCGCACGCCGTTGAGGGAGAGCCGCGGCAGCTTGCACACCTCCATCTCCCACTGGACAAAGTCGTCGTGCGCCGGGTTCCCCGCCACGCACAGCAGCATGTAGTGCTCACGCAGCTCGTACTCGCAGTTGTTGGAGTCGAGCACCTTCCGGATCTCGCGCATCATTTCCACGGGCTCCATAGACGACGTGGTCTTCATGGACCAGGTGAAGCGCAGGGAGCGCGGTTTGACGGTGTCCTTGTAGCTGGCGTTGGCAGGGGGGGTGCCAGTGCCACCTGGGGGGGGGGGGGGGGGGGGGGTTTAATGTTTCATGAGTTTAAATGAAAAAGGAACTGTAGAGCTAGAGAGAAGCAGACGTACCGGTGTTACCAGACCCCGGTGAGGAGTTGTTCGCATCGTTGTTGGAGGACGACGAGAGGAAGCCACCGGACGTCTTCTCCGACTTGTCTACAGCACTGCTGAGCACAGACCTGAGAGGAGAGACGAAGCAGTGGCGGGAGGACGGGGAGACAGGGAAGGAGGAGAACACCAGGAGAGAGAGTGTAAGAGTTGCACATTTTTAAAAAGTCAGAACAGAAAAGGGGAGGATGAAAGACGGGATGAGAGGAAGAGTAGAGGCAGATGAGGATGTGTGGACGAGCTGAACTTTGACAGCACCTCTGTGTGCGTTTGTGTGTCTTAGATCACAACCAGTTCATTCTGTGTCTGTGGGTCACACACAAACACACACGTTGATGCCTAAACTCTGATTATATTCTCTCTCTCTCTCACACACACACACACACTCCCCACCATGCAGGTTACAGTTCTACCCCCCGATTGGTTCAAACCCCATCACCAACCAATTACAACCCAGTTCCCCTCTCCCAATCATCCACAACCAGCTCCGCCCACTACTGATCTGCAGGCACTTCTCTAGGGTCTGAGGGGTTTGGGGGTTCGGCGTCTCACCTGCTGCCCTCATCCCGACCCTCTCCCTCATACGGACTCCTCGGAGAAAATCAACACAAGTTTAGTAGTTTTCTGTTTGGACGAGTTTCTGAGAGCTAGGAGCAACATTCTGTCTCTCATCAAGAAAATAATTATGCAGAAGGAATCATCCGGCTGAACACGAGACTCTCGGCTTCACCACGCCGACCCGAATCCCGCAAAAACCTCGGATCTTTTTTAAATTTGGTCTCCAGCTCTCAGAGAGAGAGAGAGAAGTCAGATTTCTAACACACTTCAGCTCACCAGAATTAACGTTTCTTCGAACAGGACACGAGAACAAGGCCCTGTGGCACCCCCCAGGGAGACCAATTACCCACATTATTAAATGTGTTGTCACCAACAGTCACAACCTAAAGAAATACCGACTCAAGGATGATTATTTCAGCAGCTTTGAGAAACTTTGAACATCTTAGGTGTGTTCTTGCTGCGTCGTTTCGCTAATTCCATGCTGTAGTTGTTCTTAAAAACGCAGAGCGGTTCTGTTTACCTGCTTTCCCGCAATGTTTCGTTTATTGCGGGAAAGCAGGTAAACAGAACCGCTCTGCGTTTTGAAGAAGAACTACAGCATGGAATTAGCGAAACTGTCTTGTTGTGGAAGGCTCTAGAGCCACATGAACACAGTTCTGTAGAAGACCCGTGTCGAGGCCCGTTTTGGGACTTCAACGCTTATTTTATGACTGAATGAAGTAGAAGCCAGACGCGTGTTGATGAAAATGACTCAAAAAAAGAAAAAAGAAAACAGCTACACTGGTGCAGAAGCAATGGGTTGGATGGGATGGAGGATGGGATGGGTCGGAGTGGTGAGGGCGAGTCCCGTGGCTGAAGGATGTTAGGAGCATTAATGATCCCAGCACTGGAGTTAACCTGTATTAGTAACATCAGACCTAAAGATGGCCCGTTTAACACACACACACACACACACACACACACACACACACACACACACACACACACACACACACACACACACACACGGGACAGAACACAACAGGAAGTGACAAATTCAACAGTTTTTGGTCTAAAACTGACTCTTCTGAGGAGCTTCCTGCTGCTTCAGGTACAACATTTAAAAACTTGAGTCTGAACTACGACAGGAACACAGGAGGGAAACAATCTGAAGTACGGAGGTGAAACACCGACACTTCCTTCACTTCTCTCTAATAAAACATCGTAAATGATCTCAACAAACACAGTAACAGTGATATCTCCCTCCTGCATCCGTAATTTGAAGTAAATCTCCATTAAAGACAGAAGGTGCGAGTTGTGTCCAGCAGGCGGAGCAACGGCTGGAGTTTAGGTGGAGAATTGCTCCATCTGCTGGTGAAAACCCACAAATGCAGGTGAGTCCATGTGCTTTTATTTTGGGATGTCCAATGAACGAGTGAGTGATGATGCGAGGAACAGGAGTTCCACAGGAGGATGTGAGCTCTGTGTGTGGAGAGTGATGACAGCATGAAGGTGTTTCCAGCCACAGAAGGTCAAAGCCATCCAGGTCTGCTGCTGCTGCTGCTGTTAGAGAGCCACGTGCCACAGTCAGAACACAGAAATGAATGAAAGGAAGAGCGCAGCCTCCAGGTGAAGGGAAGGACTGAATCACTGCGGCCCCGTCCCTCCGGGGACCCCCTCCTCCACTCTGCCTCCACATGTAGTCTACACCCAGCTACTGACTACACCGCTCCGGCCAAGGACCTCACAACCGGAGCGCTACCTGCGTACAGAGATGGGTGACGGTTTGGCGGGGTCAGCTTGGACACAGATTAGCAACAATAACGGGAAGAGCTTCACACCTGCAGCCACGGCTGTGGAAAAGCGTCCAGTCGGCCTGGTTTGTTCTGAGAAGCCAGACGATCCCGTAGCCTTCTAAATGATTCCCGAATGTAAAGCTAATCAGTGCTAACCAGACTGATAAGCTAGTGGCTCGTCACGGTCACCAGTATGTAGTAACTTAACGTGGTTATAATTAGATTTCAAGCAGAAGAATATAACTTTCTCTAAACTGAGGCTGCTCCTACAGAGCCATCTAATAAAGCCTTTCCCTTTGACCTTTGAACCAGCAGCTGCTTTTAAAAACCATGCCGTCTATTTGCCGTGACGCTGAAGCGGCATCAGGGGGCTTTAGGTGGTTTAGAAGAGGCCGGACCAGAGATCCAACCTCCAGCTGGAGCGCTGCGTTGCTGCAGATCATCAGCTCAGCTGATTCTGTTTACAAAAGTAAAACTTGCTTTCATTTTCAACACAGTTCCTGGCTGGAGCTCGGCGGTGACGCCCCACGTCATCATGACACCTGCCTGCTGCGCCACGCCGCTTATAGGACAGACCGTCACCGCGACGTTACTGCCAAGTGAGGCGGAACGAGTGCCGACACTAGGGATGCAACGATACCACTTGTCTCCAAACCGATACGATACCGATACTTGGATCTGAGTACTCGGCGACACCGATTACCGATACCGATACTTCTAACACACAAACAAATGCAATGATTTGGAATACAGGTTTTATTTTCTTCTCTGCTTTCGACAGGATGTGAGGAAGATAAAAAGTAAAATATATGAATAGAAATCATCACAAAACTAAAATATTAGGTGAACAGAATTGACAAGTTACAGTGAAGCCATTTTCAAGCAACTGCATTGGTATCGGTTAACTTTTACCGATACTGGTATTGGTATCAATACCGATACCAATACCAGTATTGGTCAACTTTTACAGATACCAGTATTGGTATCTACCAATACTGGTATCGGTTAACTTTTACCCATACTGGTATTGGTATCGGTGCCGATACCAATACCAGTATCGCATCAGTGCATCCCTAGCCGACACGATGCATTTATAAGACACGCGGTTGCGGTAATGCTACGCCGAACAGCGAACGTAGCCAAGAGCCACAAACAAGCTAGCTACAAACACAATCTTGCTAACATGGAGTGTTTTGTCCCCACCGTTGCCCGTTCAGGATGAGGTGATCCACCTGATCTTATCCCAAGCTTCAAATCCCTTTTAATTAACGGATTAAATCCTATAAAATATTATTTTAGCAGCATAAAGACGGAGGATAAACCACCTCTCAGTCTGAACTTCTTTGTTATCCAGAGGAGTTTTCTGGTTTTTATCCTCCACATGCTCACTTTTGTCTTTTTCAAGCACATACTGCAGAATAAGGACCGAGAAGGAAAGTTTGATCTAAAATAACGTTGTTTTTTTGTAAGGCTACAAGAACGTCTGGCTCCTTGGGCGGTCAATACACCGACCAGTGATGGATGAAAACTTCTGCACAGTCGCGTAGACGGGTCTGCTGGTTTTTTATGGTTTTGTTGTTACAGAGTGAAGAGGAGCAGGTTTGTTTACATCTGTAGCTCGAAGACAAGTTTAACGACAGCTCCGCTAAATGTTAGCCTTTAGAGGAGGTGAGCTCACGCGCTCCGCCTGGAACATCAACGGAGAACAGGGAGTGAGGATGAGGTGGGTGGGAAGGACGGTGGCGGGATGAAGAGGAGGATGGTCAGGTGTTATTGTTCTGCATGATGATGGAGTGACACGGTGAGTGAGTGAGTGAGTGAGTGAGTGAGAGGGATGTTAGTACAGATACAAAACATAAATGGCCAAAACACGACACTCAAAATCAGAAGGCTCAAAAAAATAAATAAATAAAAGAAAAAGGGCCAAACCACAGAAAAAAGAAGGTTCAAGGCACAACAGGAAGATGTGAACAAAAAGCTGCACGAAACACCAAAAAGGGAGGAAGTGTGTATATATATGTATAATATATATAGAGGAGCATATACGTGGATATAAACCAAGGGGTTATGTTTAACGTTAGGTATGTTGCCTACCTTCTGGGAAACCTGAACGAGAAATTTCTACAAAAACAAAAGAGGGATAAAGAAAGAAAGAGAAAAAAAAAGGATGTGTAAAATGTTTTCTGTAAAACACACGCTGCCCTCAGAGCGGCGAGCGGCTAAAACGTGACTAACGGGACCCAAACGGCGACAAATAACCAAAACACAAACAGACAAACATCAGCTGAAAATGTTTAGGTGTGGGGTTAGAGGTCACACACACGCACACACACACATACACACACACACACGCGCACACACACGCACACACACACACACACACACTGCTGTTCCTGGAAAGAAGAGTTGGTAACTGCTGATGAGACACGGTTCATCTGTAACAAACATGGCGTCTCTGTTCACACACGACACAGAACAATCAGCACCAATGAGTCCAAGGTATTCTAATAACCCTCACCAGTGTGTGTGTGTGTGTGTGTGTGTGTGTGTGTGTGTGTGTGTGTGTGTGTGTGTAAGAGAGAGAGAGAGAGAGAGAACATGTGTGTCAAGGTGTCCCCACTAGCGGTATTTATAGTTGTGGGAAAAGTGATATCTCCGGTGTAACCATGGATACCGTCGCCACGGAGCTACACTATTTCTGAGTGGGAGGCCAGGAGAGTGGCTGTAGCTCCGCCTCCTCACACACACACACACACACTTCAGCATCACCTCTCACTTCCTCTGTCACAAACGAACCCCTCTCCCGAGACTCTCCAGCTCTGTGATGAGCGATCCAGGAAACCACCACCTGCCTCTTCCTGAGTTTGCCGTTTCGTTTCCTGTGACTAGTTTAGATTTTCCTGCATGAGAACACTCTACCTGTAAACACGTTTGCTGCTCCTCTCTGCTTTTAGCAAACAGAACCTCTGTCGTCTGCAGGGTTAGGATGTGATGTTATCCGTAATAAGCTGATGGCTTAACCCTAACCCCGGGATTAACCCTCACATCTACGAACCGTGTTTATAAAACAGAGCGCTAACGTTACGACCTCCACCTAGACGAGGTCAGCTCTGAGAGCTGTGCGGACACGCTGTCTCCCTACACTGTGATCTTCAACAGAAACACACACGAGTCCGTTTCAGCAGCGATGGCGTCTCGTCTGCGAGTCTGGAAGGACAAAGCTAAGTAAAGCACAGCTCAGCAGAAGCAGAGCCTCTGACTGACGACATGAGCGGAACTCCTGCACCAGAACCAGAGACGGAACCACAATTACAGCCTAGTCGCTGCTGCTGCCGCCACAATTACAGGGAGGACACGGACGTTCCCTTCCTCTCTCCTCTGGAGGAGTTACACATCAGCTGCAGACGGGATCAGCCCCTTAGAAAAACACGGTGATGACACCAGGACGTCTGAGAGGAAACGAGGACATCGGAGACCTCGGCAGCTCGCAGGAACGCCGTTCACACCCTTCCACCTTCTTCAGCGTGACTCACTTGCGAACAAACTTGGAGGTGAACTTGCTGAAGATGCCCGTTGCCCCGTGTGTCCTCCGGGCCTGGCTGTTGCCGTGTGACAGCGACGGGGAGGCGGGGCCTCCGGAGTAGGCGGAGCCCTGCTGGTCCCGGGCGCCCCGCTGCTGCCCCGCGTGGAACGTGCTGCGGATCACCCCCCCTCTGGGGAAGTTGGTTCGGTCCGACACCGTTGTGCTGTTGATGTTGTGGGCCGACGGGGAGGCGCCGGGCGCTCGCTGGGACGCGGCGCTGCAGGGGGGAGGGGGGGGAGGGGGGAGTGAGGACAAGACAGGAGAAAAGGAAATGAATAAGAAGGAGAGGAGATTAGGAAGAGTAGGAGGTGAAGGAGATGAGCCGAGAGGAAGAAGAGGGGAGGGAGAAACAGAGTTAGACGAGCTGAAAAGCATTTTTCTAACAAGCATCATGGTCTGAATCTGAAGCTGCCTTCCAGGGAGACGTTACACAACCAGAGCCAGAGCCGTGCCGCTGCTCTCCCTGGGAGACTCCACTCACACCAGAACCTACTTCCACCGGCTCGGGCAGGCGTGTGTGAGCAGGCAGCAGCAGAGTGCTCTGTGTCCACATGGAAACATGGTTCAGGAGCTTTAAACCGGTCTGGTTTGGGTCTGAGGACCTGGAGTCAGACCAAGTGTGAGGAAAAGCCGCACATCTGGACTCCTATGTGAGAAAAAGTGATGATGCACTTCTTCAGACTCGCAGCCTTCCTCCCACTGATCAGGGTCAGCCGGGGGGCCGCCTCGACTCCAGCTCAGCTGACACTTAACTCGGCGGGTGTGGGGGACGGTCTCGGAGCGCTAACCCTGAATCTGTGCTGTCAAAGCGATCCTCCAAACAAGACTGGTCTTCACTGGCCAATCAGCTAGGAACCAGTCCGTCTCTCCAAACTGAGGCTGTTCAGAGCTCTAGTGATGTCTCACACCTCCAGAGTGGGTAAAAGCGGCGACTAGAGCACGGTTTTGTGTTGCTGCCGGTGTACAGACCTACAGCAACGTCCGGTTTCATCGCTGCTGGTCCCCGATGCGTTCACAGACCAACTAAACGCGGGAGCTTTGAGAGTTGTTGTAGTCAGGTCTCTTAATGGTTTGTTTGATGCGTTTCAGGTTCCTCCACAAACGGCTCTGATCCAACCGCTCGGACCTAAAAGCGTTCACCAAATAACCAAACCAGCGTATTTAATCAGCTCCTAACGAGATGACGGGCTCAGTGTCGGGTTTACTACACACCAGAACCAACACCGTGTGCTGAGAATGACCAGAGGTTCTTCTACCGTCCTCGTGCCTGGAGGAAACCACCTCCACCGGACACTTCGGATCCAAAACGGGGTCTTCTGATTGGGCGAGGCAGACTTCGACAGGTTGTGTTTGATGCTGTTCTCTAAGTAAAAACTCCGTTAGCTGAAAAACATCATTTCCAGCCCAGAACGCGTTCCTCTCTCTGTGAAAGAAACCTTCTGAGAAATTCATCCACGCATCCAAACTCGTATTTCCATTTAGCTTCCATCCAGCCACAAGTTTGCCTTTTAAACAAATTTAATATCAAAGCTGGTAAAAATTGTCATTAAATCATCAAGTTTAAAACTGTTAGTAATAAATTCTTCACTTTTAAACTCGCCTCATTATTTGAAATGAAACAGAGAAAGGTATAAATATTTCTGGTCATTGAAAAACAAAGATTCCTTAAACTAAACATTAATCTCTGGATTAAAAATACACCAGACAGGTTGGTGTGTGAACTTAGATGGATTATGTCCTGGACATTTATACATGATGGAAGCGTCATAGGCTGATTGTCAGACTCTAACCACTGACAGCCAACGGTGTTGGTTCTAGCGTGTAGTACAACCCTACATGAGAAACGACGCCTGCTGGAGCCTCGCTCTCGGACGGGGAGATCTGCTTTAGCAGGAAACGAAGATAAGACCCGTGCCCGTCGGAGGCGGCGATGGAAAACCCGCTCGGCTTGATCCGACGGGCAAAAGAGCAAGAATCAAAGGGACCGCCTGGCCAAAGACGAGCCGTGTCAACACTTCCACACGCTTTTCTCAACTCTACAGTCCACTTCCTGGCTGTTGCTAAGTAACCAGAAGGCACAAGACTGCCCGTGTGTGATGTGTCACTGTGGCGTGGTGATGTAAACAGACCCAGCTGCAGTTCTGCTCTCAGGAGCGAAGCGGTGTGGAGCAGCACCGTTATTGGCTTTAGCTGCTTTTTACGTCACTCCAAATCACCATTTTTGTTGCTAAGCTAAATAAACGAGTGTGTGGTCGTGCTGCAGACACGTGTCGTCAATAACTCGGCACTTTAGTGCATCTTAGTTAAGATTTAAATAATCTGCCTAAAACCGTCAGCGATGCACCGTCGTCAGGCAAAAACTCTGCACTGCATTTGAATTTAAATCTGCCGTCGCTATTGGCTAAAAGGTACGCTATGATGTTAGATGGTACATTATGATGTCACAATGTTGTGAGTGTATTTGTTAGTGGCTCCGCCCTCTCGGTCTGCTACGCAACAGCATTTGTTGCATTTTTCAAACAGGAAGTGGGAGTGGAGTAGGAATCTGGCGGGGGGTGACTTGCTCTTTAAAGCGAAGCTGTGTTTTTTAAGAACTGCGTCGTTGTTGTGCTTCGTCTCTGAATGAGACGAGGTTGCTGGCATGGGGGGAGCAGCTTGTGCTAAATGGGACAGCAGCTCTTTGGGGGGGAACTCTGGAGAGGAGTTATTGGCAGCAGGGTGCAGCTCCACGCCGGGTCGGTCGCTGCGGCGCCGTGGAAACCAAACCGAAGCACAAACAAACGTAGTCAAGCAGCAGAAGTAAAACGATGCCGACTTCCTCCGCTCTCACCTTCATTCAGTCCAGCTGGGTCCAAAGGGGTTAGAGCTGAAAAGTGTGTGTGTGTGTGTGTGTGTGTGTGTGTGTGTGTGTGTGTGTGTGTGTGTGTGTGTGTGTGTGTGTGCGTGCGCGTCAGAGAGAAACACAAAGACTGTGACTTGCCTGGGCCGCGGTGCGTGCAGGTCAGAGGGGCATGGATGATTGGAGGAGGACAGGGACTTGTGGTGGCGGGAACGTGAGGATGAGGAGGAGGAGGACAGGACGGCAGCAGCTGAGGCGGTGGAGGCTCGGGAGCCCGGAGTGTTTAGGCTGGGAGGGAATGATGGGAAGGGGATGGGGGAAGAACGCCCCGCCCGACGCAGACACCCAAACACATCCACAACCAGGCGTTCACATGAAGACAGACAGAGCGGGCGGGGTTTGAGTGGGGGTGGGGGGTGGGGGGTGGGGGGAGTATGGTTAGAGGCAGCACTCATCAAAACACAGTAATGGGGGAGGAGGGGGGAGACAGCAGAGACACAGGAGGAAGAGCAGCACAGAGAGTCGGTCTTCTTTTATCTTTGTTGTTCCTCAAACAGAAACGGGATCTGGATCAGAGCCGCGGCAGAAACCCGGCAGAACGACTCCGGCACGCGCCGTCCCGCTGAGACGGACTGAACCGAGACAGAAACCTGGAAAGCCACCAAGTCCCAGAAACAACATCACAGAGGGACGTGCCAGCACGGACCTGCAGACCCTGTAGAGGATCACAGTGCAGGGAGACAGTTAACCCACACACACCACAGGGTCTGCTGCTGTGTTATAAACTCCGTCCTAAACAACAGCTGTTTGTGAACCACCTTCACTCATCGCAGACCAGTATTTGCTGAACTCCGGTGTGATTATAGAGCCTGGTTATTAACACCAGCTGGTGTTGAGCTGAAAACACTGACCAGCTCTAAGGGGTGCTCTGACCCGCTTTAACGGTGTGCCTGGAGATAATCGGACTTCTTATTCATGTAGAAACTGAGTTTTTTGTCTTTAACCGGAGTAAACGTGCAACAAACATTTTAAACATGGCTCCTCTCCTTGGACGGTGGAAAGTAGGTCAACATTAGAGATCAGGAGCTGCGTGTCACTATTTCATTCTGAAACTTAATCATCAAAACAGCTTTGGTTTTCCCAGAAAGCACCTAGGCAACAACAGCTTATAAACCTTACACAAAAGCACCTTAATGGCATTAGCAGCTAGCGCTACACAAGCGTTTATGCTAATGGCTAATGATTCCGAGGTTTGTAAATCTGACCCGTAAAGCACCGGAGTTCTACCTCCTCTATCCTTCCCGTTTCGTCTTTTCCCCTAACCTGCACACAATCCAGCTCTTTTAGTTCCATTAACACCGTGCTAGCTTCTCTAAACTACTTCCTGAATGCCCCACCGCTAATCAGCAAGCGGACTGCAACGCCCTGCACATTGCTGCTGGCTCAAACTCGATTTTGTTTAAACATAAAGGAGGAAAAAGCACAAGAAGGGACGGCGGAGAGTGGTACCAGAGGGAGGACCGGGAGGGGGAGAGCAGGGGGAACTGGCAACGAGAGTGAATGCTTATCACACACATCTGTGAGCAACACACACGGTGCAAACCAGCTCAGTGGCCTAGTGGTAGAGTGTCCGCCCTGAGACTGGGAGATCAGGGTTCGATTCCTGGTCGGGTCGTACCAAAGACCCAATGCCTCCCTGCTTGACACTCAGCATTAAGGGGTTGGATTGGGGGGGTTAAACCACCAGATGGTTCCTGAGCGCGGCTGTGTCTGCAGCTCACCGCTCCCCCAGGGGATGGGTCAAATGCGGAGAACAAATTTCGCACACACACCTGTGTGTGTGTGTGACAACTGATGGGACTTTAACTTTAACACCATCTCCAACAGATTAGCAAAGCTGGTGATGGAAAACTCCCTTGAGCTTCAGCGTGGCAACAAGTTGGAACGTTTAAATGTGGTGAAATGGTTTAGATGGTCGAGTGTACGCTGGAGAGGGGGCACACCTCCAGCACCAGCACGAGTCAATATTCCATCACAAGTCGGTCTAATCTCCTCAGAGGAAAGAAAATGTAACAAGAAGGCAGATTAACACAAAGACAGGGAGACGTGTGTGAGCCGGGATCCAGAGGGAGGAGACGCAGATAAAAGAAGACCAAAGGAAGGAGACGGGGGGAGGTGGGGGGGTAAAACAGGAACAACAGCCCAAACTTCAAAGCATTTATGATGATTTAAAAAAGCAACTTTAAAACTCAGAGCAGATGACAAGCACTGTGTTAGCTAACAGACCCGCAGAGCTTCGACTAAAGCAACCACGTCTCAGATGACCACTTTATCACCACACAGCCCATGGCACAAGCAGGTGGACTTCCTTTCAACCGGATTAAACTGGTTTCTGTTCGCTGTGCTGGAGACAAGGTGGGCCATGTGAGGCGGACGATGAAGCAGTATGAACCATGAGCGCCGTTACAGCTGGGATTATGGCTGGGCTCGATGTTTGCTGCACATGAAGCAGAAGGCCGGTTAAGCATGAGTGGAGCCGCGCAAGTGTGTGTGTGTGTGTGCGCGTGCGTGCGTGTGTGCGCGTGCGCACATGTGTGTGTGCGCATGCGTGTGTGTGTGTGCGCGCATGTGTGCGTGCGTGTGCAAAAGTGTGTGCGAGTGCGTGTGTGCGAGTGCGTGTGTGTGAGTGCGTGTGTGTGCATGCGTGTGCGAGTGCGCGTGTGCGAGTGCGTGTGTGTGCATGCGTGTGTGTGTGCGCGTGCGTGTGTGTGTGTGTGTGCATGCGTGTGTGTGTGCGCGTGTGCGAGTGCGTGTGTGTGCATGCGTGTGTGTGTGCGCGTGTGTGCGTGCGTGTGCATAAGTGTGTGCGAGTGCGTGCGTGTGTGCACATGTGTGCATGCGTGTGTATGCGTGTGTGGGTGTGTGCACATGTGTGCATGCATGTGTGTGTGTGTGTGTGTGCGTGCGTGTGTATGCGTGTGTGCACATGTGTGCATGCATGTGTGTGTGTGTGCATGCATGTGCGTGTGTGCGCATGTGTGCATGCATGTGTGTGTGTGTGTGTGTGTGTGAGCGTGCGTGTGTGCATGCATGTGCGTGTGTGCGCATGCGTGTGTGTGTGTGTGCGCATGTGTGCATGCATGTGTGTGTGTGTGTGTGTGTGCGTGTGCATAAGTGTGTGCATGCATGTGTGTGTGTGTGCGTGTGTGCACATGCATGTGTGTGTGTGTGTGTGCGTGTGCATAAATGTGTGCGAGTGCATGTGTGCGCGCGTGTGTGTGTGTGTGTGTGTGTGCGTGTGCATAAGTGTGTGCGAGTGCGTGTGTGTGTGCACATGTGTGCATGCATGTGTGTGTGTGTGCGTGCGTGTGCATAAGTGTGTGCGAGTGCGTGCGTCTGTGCACATGTGTGCATGCATGTGTGTGTGTGCGTGCGTGACCCCTGAATTTGGTGTTTAGACTAACTTGCACCACTGATTTGAAATGAATTCAGCGTGTTGGAGGAGCGATGGAGAAATAATTGGACAGGAGGTCACTGAGCAAACCGATGACCTCCTGTCCAATTATTTCTCCATCGCTCCTCCAACAAGCTGAATTCATTTCAAATCAGTGGTTTTGATGTGAAGTGACCAGGAAGGGAAGGAGAGTGAAGCATCAGCCAGGTTTAGATGAACAAAAACGACCCGGTCCAGAGGGAACACGGGAAGCCAGATTTTACAGGCTGGAGCTGAATCCCTCTTCTCCGTCCAAGGATCGTTTCCCTCGAAGTCCCCGCTCCGG